TCTACAGGAAGAAAATCCGGTAACTTCCAACTGGAATACTGCTTCCAGTTTCCAGCGCTTTCCTGTGCTTTCCGGCCGTTTCCCGCCGTACGTCCACGACCTGGGTATATCAGTTTATAGGAAAAATTATCAGGGCGCAGGGCAAAATTTTTTACCCTGCCCTGTGACGGTCTCTGGTAGGTATATGTGAATAATTGATTTAGTGGTAAGTTCAAGCTTACAATATAAGTCACGCTTCCGTGTTTTTTGTTTAGGATCGTCTCAACAACAAGTAACGGCGGTGCATTTTTCGTGCGAATAAAGGAGAAAGTGCTGGCTCTTATTCAACTTACAACAAACTTGGGTAAATATAACGTATCGAATTAGTGGTTTAGGAAAAAAATAGTGGATAAGACTAGAATAATGGTTAAGGATAGAAATAAGCGGTTAAATATGAAATCAACGGTTGTATATAGTATTAGCCGCAAGTACTAGCCTAATTGAGTGTGGTGAACTACATTTTAGTACTCAAGAACTATTTTTGAAGAAAAAGGAAAAGATTTCAGTTTGAACCAGATTTTGCTTGAACTTTAAATGGTTCGGAAAATGGTACCCAAATCTAGAACCTTAAAAGGTTCAGTATGGCACGTTTTTTCATTTCTGAGTAGTGTTGGAATTTGGCAAACATCCGGCCAAATCCAACAGCCGACTTCGATAGGAATATCAGGAGTCGAATTCCAACGAGGTTCCTAAAGAAACCTATTGGATTTTGACTGATTGCCTCAAGAATCGATCGAATCCTAACACTCGCGATCCGTAAGTGAGTCCACGACCCGGATTTACTTAGGATCTTATAGGAACCCGTCGAAATCCAATTGGATTCAGCTATGGGATTCTTCGCCCTGGATAGAGTAAAAGTATATGCTTTTCTGATTACAAAAACTATTCTTGAACAAGTTAATATTTGTTTTTCAAGTTGATATCATAAAATCGTATACAAAACTTATTTGATCCATTCAATCAAAAGTCAATGTTGATCAAGCGCGAAAAAATCAATTAGTTTAATTCGTGAAATGTTGGATATAAGATCAAACTTTTGTGCATTACAAAATTCTACTGAAAACACTAAGTTCGAGACATGTTCTTTTGCCATGTGCCGCTTCAACTTTTTCCAACTTAACGGAGTCGTATGTTTAGATATTTGTGACGCGTATTAATATAATTAATTGTTCTACTCGTAGTCGTTGGCGATTGAAATGTGATTCGAAGGACATGCACCATAAAACAAAATATCATGATGTATCTAAAGTTTCATTCATGTTTGATAAGAAAGCATCAATTCTTTTATCCAAAACGCAAAATAGGTAAATTTTCATTTTATCTAGTAGATGAAAATGATAAAAAACGGCGTGTATTACCATCGTTCTGTTGGTGTAGCGGTTATCACATCTGCTTAACACGCAGAAGGTCGCAGGTTCGACACCTGCACAGAACATCCTTTTTTTTAAATAATTTTTAATTATTAAACAAACAAATTCTGTGAATTCTTTTTTGTGTTTGTTTCTTCTGATAGCTAAGGATTGCATAAACCGAATAAGAAAAACTAATCATAGATCCGTCTTTGATTTTGTTTGACGTATAGTAAAAGTCGTGCATGGTGTTTTCTTGCTAGGAAATTTCTTTGAACAGAATCATACGATGAAGAATCAGTAGATAGGACGTGGTTCTGTTGGTGTAGCGGTTATCACATCTGCTTAACACGCAGAAGGTCGCAGGTTCGACACCTGCACAGAACACTCCTTTTTTTGTTGAAGAAATTGTTTTGGAATAGAAAAATAATTTTTTAGCTCAACTGAAATTACTATTCAAGAGAATTCTAAAAGATATATTCAATCAAAACCGATGCAAAACCAAGAATCTATCAGCTATATACGACATATTGGATCACAAACAGATTACCGTGAGGAATCAACACAAACAGATCCTTTTTCACCAATTTATACTATTTCCGGTGGTGAACATCCTGAAGTATTTGCTTTAGCTGACTTCATTTATGGTAGTAGAGGTTTTACTTTTAATAGTATAAAATTGTTCGGTTCTAGGCAAAGGTTTACCAGTAACATCACTTGAAATTTCTTTTATCGAACGATTACGTGCACGTCGACAATGGGAACAAGACCATACGATAGATATGACACGTACTAAAATAGTTATTGAACGAGAAATACGTCAATGGCAAATACGTGAAAACGAAATTAAAATGTATGATTTTCACGTTTCATTTCATATTGAATTTATTTCATTGAAGGTCACAAGATACATACCATAAACTTTATAAGAAAAATCTTCATACTTATATTAAAACCGATAAAGATCTAACACAATATTTAATTGATTTTTTCATATATCGACGAGAAAAACAATTGAAATCACAATATACACGCATTGATGTTGAAGCAACTCGAGGTAGATAACGAAATAAAATATAATATCATTAAAATTAACATGCCCATAGATATTCGTCGTATTAAACGCATGTATCAATTACGACAAGCTCAAATAAATGCAATGACAAGTTACAATCATCTAGGAGCTATTGGTATGAGTCAACATGGGAATGGCTGTTATACTTCACTGAAACCACCGTGGCATAAACAATCCAATGATATAATTACAAGTTTTAAAAATACTACTTCTAAAATTCATACCCCTTGTTCTAATTTGAAATATTTGATTGATCGACATTTTCATCATATTCAAAAAAGTTCATTTAATTTTGAAGAACAACTACCTCAAAATGCTTTAGTCGTAAAAATTGAAGAACTCGATCGATTAATGACACTAGAAAACAACACTAATAGGAAAAAATTATCCCATCGTATTCGTAATCTAGAGAAAGCTTATCAAGTATTTGAATAATTTTCTTTTTAAAATTTTCTTTTAATAAAAATACTTTTTAGTTAATTCAACAAGACAAAAATAAACAATTAATAATATCAGAAAGAAAACCTCTTCGATTTGTAGAAAAAATAGAAACAATCCATGATGTTAAACAATTAGAAATGAAACCAATAGAAACAGAAGTGATTATTAGAATTTTTCTTTATCTACATTTCTAATTTGTTTTTTTCTCCAGAGACATGACCACCATCGAATAGTTATAGTCAAATTACAAAACTACTTACGTAGTATTATTACTCAATCTAAAGTAGTAGTCATTGTCATTTTTATCATTCTGAATAGCTTTTCTTTTTTTTATTTGAATTTTTTTGATTTCAAATGTTTGTCAAATTCGCCAACATTTATTAGATGAATTGATAAATGGTTTAAAACAAGGTCAAATATCATCAATTGATATTACTGATGATAATTTTGTATCATCACGTAATCAAATATATGATTATCTTGAAGGTGCAACAATAGCTGATATGTTAAACTTTTTATCACAAGATCTTCTCCGTCTACAATGTGAACAAACTATTCATCTTTTTGTATTACTTGCTGATCGTTATCGATATCAACGAGAAGCAACAGAAACTGCTTACCGTACGATATCGATTGACAAACAAAAACTAGAAGATCATGCACTAGAACAAGTATATTTTGTTTTGTGTAGTAATAAAAAAAATTCATATTTCAAATCTTAGATGTTTTCATTACAGTCTGATTCTGATATAAAATCTTACATAGAAGATCTTATTCTTGAATCTATTACACATACTGCGAATGAACAAGGAAAATCAGAAATAAGACAAATCACTGAAACATTAACCGATTTAACAGATCAAATAAATAATACTATGTATGATTTTCATAGTTTATTGAATATATTTCATTGATTTCTATAGATCAAATCAATCAGAAATTGAACTTATTGTATCTCAACTTGTTTATCAATTCTTATTACCTAAAGTTCAACGAATACTTACTAAAGAAAACAATAGAAATTTCTATCGGCATATCAAATTGCCCTCCATCAATAAATAATGTGAAAACAATAGGAAATATTTGTCAAACATCAAAATTGCCGATCATTTATTTCTTTAAATAATAATACAACAGCAATTGGCAAAATCATATAAGGGTTTTTTTTCTAACTATATAATAGGAAATAAATGTTTTCTAATGCTCGATGTTTTTTTTTTTATTAAATCATGAGAATAAAAGATGAAATACCGGGATGCATGAAAAAAAAGTAATATAAAAAAATCCTTTCCAGTGACCCATTGAGATTATTTATTGAGTATGTTCGAAATATTCTTTGCATTTCGATACATCAGGATTGATTGTTTTTTTGCCTGGTTTCCAATTAGCCGGACATACTAAATAATGGTAAATGAATGAAAACCAAAATAAATATAAAACTATACCTTCGCCATATTTATCAGTAAATTGAAATGCTTGCACTAAGCGAAGCGTTTCATCAACTGAACGACCAACTGGTAAATCATTGACTGTTATTTGACGAAGAGTGCCATGAGTATCGATAATAAATAAACCACGAAAAGAAATACCTTCGTCTTCTTTTAATACACCATATTTAACTAAATGAGAAAATTTAAAAGCAAATTAATATAAAATATCAATAAGACACTCACTAGATATTTCCATGGTCTTATCAGCCAATAGTGGAATATTCATTTTTCCAAGACCTCCTTGTTTTCGATTTGTATTGACCCTAGAAAAAAAAATTGATTTCGTGTGAAATAATAATAAGAGTAACAGATTCGTCTCATACCAAGCAAGATGACTAAAATGCGAATCAGTAGAGCAAGCTAAAATTTCACAATTGATTTGACGAAATTCTTCAGCACGATCACTGAATGCAATGATTTCTAAAGAAAAACTTCTATCTTATCTTATCTTATTAATTGACTTTAATATGGTATACCTGTTGGGCAAACGAATGTAAAATCGAGTGGATAGAAGAATAGTACTACATATTTGCCTTTATAATCTTGAAGTGAAACTTCTTTGAAATTTCCATCAATAACAGCGGTTGCTTTAAAGGCAGGTGCTGGTTTGCCAATCTTTGCTGACATTTTCTTATTTTATGTGTACTAATACAGATCTGAAATAGAAAAAAAAAGAATATAAATTCACGCTCATGTTTTATTATCTTCTTTTTTCCCCTATTAAATGAGATTGCATGGCTCTACTTATCTGTAGTAAATTTCTGGAGTTATATTTCACAGAAAACTACTTCCATTTTTCTCTCTTCTCATAGGTTAATGTCACTTTTAATAGAATCTTAGAATATTCTAGAAAGAAAAAAAAAGCTTATTTCTGACGTAGTTAGATATAAGTGGAGCAAATTAAGTTGAAGGATTATCATTGTCGGCATTCGTTCGAAAGAAAAATTGTAAAATATTCTACAGCAGTTACACTTCTTTTAAACTGTATGTATGCAAAGGAGAGCGAAAAAACAGAAGAATACATCATAGAACACTTATATAGTAGTAACGAAACAGGAAAGAGAGAAACAAATGTTGTGGGAGGACGGCAACCCTGAAAAACGTCCTTGATTCTTATCAAAATAGAAACGAATATTGGCAGTTGTGAGTTTATCCTTTTTTTCAATGGTTTTATAATAATTTCATATCGAAAATCTGTTTTTCCTGATATCTCAGAAAGCATTTGGATATACGTGAGAGTGTGTAGATGTCGCTTTAATTTCATCAATCCAATCGAACTTAAGCTCATTGGTTGAAAAATTGAACAAACCAAATGATGTCTTCGTATTCTAGGAAACATCATTACATCGATCGATTCATTTTACTAATAGAGATCTCTATTAAATGTCGACAACAAAGGATGTTGAGGTTCATGTTGAATATGCTGATCAACAAAATATAAATAAATTTGCTCGTCATAATGCAAAATTAACAGAATTAAAAGAAGAAATAGAAACAAAACGAAAAGAACTAGTATCATTATCGGATGCAAGAGAAGCTCTAGATGAATTATCAATCTTATCTGATGTTCCAACAGCACCATTACTGGTTGGTGAAACATTTCTTATTGAGCCAACTGAAAGTATTTTAGGATCATTAGATGTGCGCAAAAATAAAATTGAAAAAGAAATTGATGATGTACAACAACGTATGCAAGCAATTCAAAGTGTGTTAAGCGACTTAAAAGTGAAGTTATATGGAAAATTTGGTAAAAGTATCAACCTAGAAAATGATGAAGAATAAATCGAACAAGAATCAAACAAACAAGAAAACACAATTAGTAACTTTTCATATGTTATACGATTGTTAACAAATAAATGTTTTTTTTAAACCGGACAAGAAATAAAAATTTCTCGCGCAAAACAATCTTTTTTATTTAATCTTGAACCAAATAACTACAAAGATTTTCGAGAATAAATAACAGTAATATCATGAATACTATCAGATTAACATCGTGAACGTGTAGTAAACATCGATATGTTGATACACCTGTGTAATAGTATGTACTTGTTACTATAAAAATTAATCTACCTATTGTAAATCTACGAGTAAATATTCATATTTAAAACATACAGACCTTTTCTGATATGTTTAGATCCTATGTATTTTACATCACATTATTTTGAATTTTCTCTTTCGCACATTAAGAAATTTTTAGTAAACTAGAATAAATCAGTGTGACTCGCTAATCATTAGAATAGATCTTAACATTCTAAATAGATTAAATTAAAATGTTGTTGAATCAAACTGTCAATACTTATACATTAGTCAGTAGAAATATCAACTTACTCATTATATGGCAAGACCAACAAGAAAGTAAGATAGGTTTCACATAGTTACAAAAAATTCTCTGAACCATGTAGATGTCGTGAGACCGAATATATTACACTTGCCTAGTTTCGATTGATGTAAATCATTCTTAAATCAATATGTTACCTGTTCATATATAAACCATTCTAGGTCTTGATTCGATAACTCGAATCGAAATATATTTTCATTCTTGTGATAAACTTGAAAGTATTCCTCAATTTATCGTTCTTCTAATTTTGATTTGAAATTTTCAAACGTACGGATTCAATGATTCATTTATCAACTTTCAAATTCAAATTACTCAAAAGGTTGTCTCAGAACTGAATTAAAACCATTTAAAAGCTCGTTTTATACGCTAGTAGTTGAAATACAAACGATTTATTATAATTTTTTTAGATCAATTTATTTTCAAATACTCTGATGGATAAACATATAAGAAATGTATTCAATTTCGAATCGAATGTTCATAATGTAACAACATTAGATATATTCAAAGTATTTCGCAATATTAATGCTTTTACTGCAGTATTACAAGATTATGCTTCTCAACATAAACTTACTGATATAGAACAATATTATTTTGATGTTGAAACTGATCCGCGACGCAAATTTCTCTACCAAATCAGTCAAACTTATTTCGATAATTATTTTATTTTTATTTTATTTTATTTTATCGAATCCAGTATTAATTACTAAACCAATATTTGATAATCTTCATTGTGAAAGACGTTTACTACCTGAAATTACTGATCATATTATTGATTTATATGAAACAATGGATTCGAAATCATCACGATTTTTTAATAAAGGTTTACTCGATAAATTCATATCAAATCTTGATTTTTAACCGTTGTCTGATGATATTACTGGAACAGAATATCAAACATATTTTACATTATTTTTTCTCTTGAAACTAATCGCCAAAAGATGTATTTAATTGAATTAGTGAAAAATCCGAAATGGTTAGAACATCCTCAACAAGGTTTATCAGAGAATGATCCTCAATTCTATCAGTTTGGATTTGAATATCATACTGGTCTGAAAATAAAGTCATCGAATGATTTTATTCAAATTAAGCCATGAACACAAAAACATTTAGCTCAACTTATGGAAGAAGTCAATAAAACATGTAATCGTTTGTTGACTAATGAAGAAGATAAACAGAAACCAATTTCCGATAAAATGATGCTTGTTGGTCAAGATCAAACTCAATGTTGGTCGACAAAAAAAGAAATGGTCGATTCACATGAATTATGCGTAGCAAAATGTCGACACGTCTTTATTGATCAAAGTCAATTTAAAGAATTCAATTCGCCAGGAATTATTATTCTTGATAATCCACTTTTAGATGGTGTTTATTATTTTAAAGGAAGTCTCTATTTAAATGTATTTGATTGGGCTAATGAGAATTATAAATACGATGTAGAAAATTTAGTATTTCACGAAACAATACCTGGTCATCATTTACAACTTGATATATCTCTAATTCATCTAATCATAATTATTTAACTGCAATAGATGGGTCACCATGCAATGGTTTTATCCACGGATGGACTTTATTTGCTGAACACTTAGGTTACTCAATGCTTAATGAACCTTGGACTTGCTTTGGTTCCTTACAATCAAATATTTTACGTACGTTTCGTATGATTGCTGAAATTCTTTTACATGTTGAAGGACAAACACCGACACAAGTTATTGAATTAGCAAAACAATATCTAACAACAAGTGAAGCATCTATAACATCAGAAATATATCGTTATAGAACTTTAACAGGTCAAGCATGTTCATATAAAATTGGTTTAGAAATATTCAAACGTATTATTCACGAAACGTTTAATGTCATTGAAGTGAAAGATTTTATGAGGTTGAATCTGGAAGATTGGTACAAATAAATTTTTTGGCAAACTGAAAGACCACTCTACGTCTTATTAACTGAAAAGCTTGTTAGCGCAGCCCCTTTGGAGCTTAAATGTGGACCTCACATATATCCCTCAGGCTGACTAAAATAATTCAGAATAGTTCATCTGAAAAATCTACCTTGATTTCCAAAACCTATAATTAGGTCATTGCCTATTTGCTTATGTCTGTAATGGAGTATTAATTGTTAGCTCGCATACTTCACAATGCCAGATACTAGTTTCTATGATCTGTAATGGTACCCTAAGCTAGTTACTATGGTCTGTAATGGGCAAGTATTGCTTTCTTCGTGTAGTCTGTAATTAAAAAAGAAAAAATTGCAGCCTAATTAGTGAAGCTCTTAATTAGCACAATTTTAAACTCATTAATGTCTGCAATGGGGAGGAGGGTGGAGAGCCGTAAAAATCTCGCTTATAAACTTACACTCACCATTTTCTTCGAAAATATGTGAGCTCCACAAAATAATGTTTCATGGAACTTTGATGAATAATTAGTTTTTCATGTTTCTTTTTCTCTAAAATGAATGGATTATCATTTGTTTTCCTTATTTACGTAAATGCATATTAGAAACATTCGTTACTACACTGATCCAGTCAATCTTTACTCACACAATCTACCTTTCGTTGTTATTTATATGAAATATGACTGCTGCAAAAAAATTCGGATAAAACAAAGTGCGCTATCCAATAGAACTTGACTGATACAAAAACTGAGTATAGGTTTATCTTTTTTTTAGTTGAAAAACACACAATAATATATACAAGAAAAAGAACAGAAGTCATTTTTTTCCAGATCGTGCACGATAATTTTGAAACCAAATACGAATTGACGATAATGGTAAAATAAGTTGACCAGCAAGTTGTTCTTGTTCATGTGGTGTTGGATATCGATTGTTAGCATAAGCCTGACGTAAATGCCATATTTGCCAATCACTTAATTTACGCCTTTGCTACAAATAAATAGATTATATAATCGGAAATTAATTGATTCATTCATTCATTAGTGCTAACTTTTCGTTCACTTGTTGTAGCTGTCCTCGAATAATTACTGTCTTCTTTATCTAGTCTCGATGTTGACGCATTCAATGAACTATAGCCAGTATCGTCTAGAAATATTATAGAGAATATGCTTTGAATTTTCTTTCCGAATTCCAAAGGGAAAAAATTCAAATCAAGTATACTTACTTGCATTCCAACACATTTGTTATTATAAAACTCGAATTTTTTTATACCACACTTTGAAAAAGATTAGAACTGATAAAACTTACCATGTCTTTGAAGAGAAAAAGGAGAAGAGATAGGAGTCAACGAAGATGTATTCAATGATGATATAGCTAATGATTCAATCGAATGAAAATTAACTCGTGGCTTGTATGTCGGATATGGTGTACTTGTTATTTTTATCGCAGTTAATCTGTTAGAACAACTAGAACACATTTCAATATTAATGAACTAAATCTCATCCAGTATAGATGCTTACTTTGGACTTGAATTACAGACATCGATATCTGATGAACATGATGCAGTTTCATCGCCATGAATAGAATTCATTTTTAAATCGTTGAGTGAAATGACAAGTGTGGTGTGCTTATATATAACCACTTTATGAAGCTATTTAGCAATCAATCAATTAGCGATGATGAATTTACCTCTAGCTGATACATGTAAATCAATTACAATGATCCGGATAGAATGATGATGATGATGACGTGAACATATGCTTAAGGTGAGTTACTCATATTCGTTGAAATGGATTATTGAATGCTTTTCAATTAACACATTAAGCAAAGCCATTTTTGTTAGAGAAAAATCAATTTATTGAGAGTATAGAATAGTTTTTCTTCTAAAAATTCAACTATAAGATTTCAAAACAGATTCTGTTTTAAATATCATTATAATTTGTGTACATTTTATATATCGCCAACTAGTGTATTAGTAACAATGTATGTTCTTGAAAGTGTTTGTTTCACAATGTGAATAGATTGAATCACTTGGAATTTTCTGTGTTGAATAGAATTGATTAAAAAATCATCATGTTAATAAGGTGACAAATTGATACAAGAGAATAGTAGCGGCTATCTTAATTAATCGCTGCTTTGATTTGTCCGATAGAAAAGTACAGGAACAAAACAAAACTCATATTTTATTCACTGATTGCATAAGAATCAAGGTGCCGCTTTTCTTTCTGATAACTGAAGCAATATATAACATTGTCGAAACTTCTCGTTTATCGATTACCTAGTTTCATAGAAGGAGAAGAGTGATGCTGTTTTTTTCGGTTATTATATCGATTTTCACGTTCTTTTTTATATGCATTTTTTTTTGTAATGCCAATATAATCAATGATATGCCAAGTGGAGGTAAGCAACTATTTGATGCATAGCGGTGTAAAAAAAATAACAAGATCAACAAAGATTTAGTTAAATATACACACACACATGTGCTTATAAAAACGAAGAGAAACCTCGTCATTACTTTATCGACCGTCTAGATGAAGTCGAATTCATGTGTATTTTTTATTTTCATTGATTAAAATCAAGGAAAGCGATTCGTGACGATGGGTTTATCCAAGTCAAAAACAATAAATATCAACAATTATTTGAATACAACAGAAATAAAAAACTATAAGCGTTCTCTATCAGTGCCTCGTGCTCAGGTGTTATTACCATCGTTCAGATATGACAACAATAACAATGATTGTAATGATTTGGATAGGAAACAACGCTCATGTTTGAAGAAAAAAGTTCTAATATTAGGCTTGGATGGTGTTGGCAAAACAGAACTATTCACACAATTACTATGTTGGGATAGAAAAAAGTTAAAAATTGATTCTCTTCCACGACCAACACTTGGTGAGTTACGTTTTAAAACAGCGTCTTTTTTAAAATTTAATTAAACATAACTAAAAGTTATCTACAACGATTTCTTAATTTTGATAACCGTTATTGCAATCTCAAAAGGAACAGGGCCGTTTTGGGGTCATTTCAAATGGCCCCAAACCCAAAACATCCCTCGTCCTTTAGTCTCAAATTAATACTACGATATTAGGAATGTATTAGTTTAGATATAGAAGTGATGTTAATCACTATTGAATAATAAATATTTGTTAAGTTTTGAGTTTAGTAAATAACATTTTTTCCTATTTAATCGAATAAAAATAAAACTCAATTTGATGTTTTTATAGGCTATAATGTTGAAACCATAAGATTACACTGTCACCATTTATGTCATCGTCAATATCATGAAATTACACTATGGGATTGTGGTGGTCAGTCATCTGTTCGATCATTGTGGTCATATCATTATTCTAATACGTCTCTTCTTGTATGGTTAATTAATATACATGATCGATCACGATTGGATACAAATATTTTTTTACTTTCACAAATACTTACAAATCCAACGTTAAATCGAGTGCCTGTTGCTATTATTTTATATAATTCTTCGTTTCATTCTTATTATGACAAAAACTCGAATACAAATACAAATGAAAATTTATTGACTAATCTTGAAGTATCGTTTCGTTTTTTAGCGACTCTTTCAACATCACAGGCCAGTACATTTAAATGGCAAGTGATTAATGTCACACTAGACGAAAAGAATTCTGAAGCAGATCTTAAAAAACTTCGACAATGTTTTATGGAACTTATGGAATTGTAAAGTTTTAAAATTAGTTTGTTTTTATTTATAATTTTTATTCATTTTTAATCCGGTAAAGAAAAAACTAATTCTCGTTCATTTTCATCATATTTTGTATCGTCTAGTTCATTTTCTAAAGACATGCTTGCTCCTTCATGATGAATATTGGTTAAATAGTTATCAGATGGAGGAATAGCCCATTGTTCATTCTGAAAATATAAGATTTAATATAGAAAACAGATAAATTAAATAGTTTAAACCTCTACCTTAATCCGATTCGTTTTAGCCTGTTTATAAAATAATTGTCTTACTTTTTGGTGTCGTAATTCAAAAGCTTTTATTTGTCGAGCTTCATCTTCTTGAAGTTGATATACAGCTTTTTCATCATAAAATTTCTCTAAAAACTAAAATTTTTTGAATCACATATTATATGTTAACAAACCTTTCAATGATTTTTCATTTTTATTCTTTGAAATTGTAGTGGAAAATCGCGCTTCGAATAAAAATTAATATAGAAGAAAATAAAATGCAGTTGAAAAATCAGCTAGAAACATACATTTTTTTATTCTATCATCCAACGTTCGAGTTCGTGTACGTTGATTGATTTCTTTACAAACAAGTGTTGATTCAACTGGTGGTATAAGTACCACTGAATTCCAAAATTGTTTTGCTAATTTACTTTCATCTTCTCGAGATCCATCGAAAACGGTGAGCGCTGTACTATTTCGTGTATCAATTTCGTGAACTTTAGAACTTTGTAAATCTTTGAATTGCAAGAAAAAAATTCCTATAGTATCCTTCTATACATGTGTGTTACTTACTCATTCTGTCTGATGACTTATACCATTCTATTATTCGTTACCAAGGTGAAGACTCAAATGAAACACTGCTGGAGTATTGAATTCGAACAGTTTATAATTCATTCACTTAAATAAATTTTATTTTTTTGTTATTCACCATTTGAATGTAGATGAATAATGCATATCTAAATAGCGACATTGTTCGCGAGATCTGCAGATATTTTATTGTAAGAAATCAATAGTTTTCAAAATAAATCGATATCAATTATGGATATCGATTTAGTCTTATTGAAATTTGAAGGTAAATACATTTTACAGGTGCCAAATTATGTATGAAATATAGGCGAACCAAGGTCAAATTTTCTTTTAGTACAAGAAATAAACCTTCAGATAAATCCATTCTGTCTACTATGCCAATTAGTGTATATTCTACTGTCAGAGATTTGTTTTACTTCAAGTTTTTTTTTAAATAATATTAAAAAAATGTCAGATTTCTTTGCTGTGAATTGTTGATCACTGATCAATTGCGTTTTCTTGCCGTTATATGTAATTTACAAGTAACCTGCTTTTCGAACTATTACTTTTCGATTTTTGAAAAAAAAAGAATAAGAATTATCTCTTGTATAGTTTTATTTTACTATCTATTGCTAACAGGTAGTTGATCACTTGTTTGACTATGAAAAGATAGTTGAGTTGAATTGTTTATCAAATATTTTGACTTCAAGGTAAAAATTGATAATTCAACAAACAAGAAACAAAATCAATGATAGTGACTTATTCATGAAATTTTGAATAGTTACAATATGGGTTTCTATGAATGTATTTAAGTAAAGAAGCCATCAACTATTCGAGTATCAAGCTATCATTTTAACAGCATGCGAGTTGAATTTCGATTACGCTATTGATATTTGATCATGCTATACTTTATAACTTCTTCTATTAATTAATTTTAAAAGGTGAGGATCCAAAATATTGATTAAACTATTACATAATTAACTGCATCTTAAATATTTTTGATACCAAATACTTTTATCGAAACATCCATAAACAAAAATCTTTTGATTGCAAATTATTCATCGTATATTCAGATTGACGAACATACTTCTATGCATTTATGTTATATTAATTAGTTGTATTCTAGTATGCCGAAACAATGTGGTGCTCTTGGATAAATCATAAGTTAGGGTTACTCTTTCTAATTAGTTTCACAAAAGACAATTGCTACTTTTTCTAACGTTGGTACGTTGTCAATAGTCTAAAATCATAATTGACTATTCTACTGATAAATAAAACTAAATATGATGACCTTTCATACCATCGTATGGTTATTGTTTTCTGATATGTATCTATTTATGTTATCTCGACGCGCTATGGATTCTTAATTTTTTGACAGTCGCTGTCAGATAAACTAATTGCTAGAAAGAGACGTATTAGTGTTATCTCGGTGTCTAAAAATAATAAGAAAAAAAAGAATTCTCTTCAGTGACCTAACACTATATTACATTTAGTCTGTAGCGAATATTTTCCCAAGAAGATGTGCTCATCATGGCTATTTGTATTAGTATTATTTATCGTGTTTTTTGCTAATATTGAAAGTCAACTATTTCATAAATTGCAAGATAAAATTAAAAAAGTAGCATCAAACAGATTAGGTGTGAATGTTGCACGATATGATCGTGAAGAAATGATGCTATTTCCAAATGTTGGTTTTCAACGTAAAGAAGGTGATTGGCGTTTAAATCTACATGGTTGGCGTTATCAGCCGTCAACAAAGAATAAACTCATTGGAAGATCATCATCGACAGCTGCTCAACGACTTGCTCGTTTACTTGCTACTTCTGAACAAATGGTTTATTATAATGATACATTTCAACGAGATCGTATAAAACCGTTTATGGTTCAAGATGAAGCATATGAAAAGATTCAAATTATTATTGGAACAAAACATAATTCTACAACAAAAACAGATGCCGAAGGACAATTTCGTACATCATTTATTATTCCAAATGAAGATGTACAAGAATTAAAACAAACCGTAAATAAAAATCAAGTTATAAATTATCAAGCTATTGGAGATAATGATGATGGTTCGGAAGGCAAAATTTATTTACTGGAAAGAAGTGGATTATCTATTGTATCCGATATTGATGATACAATTAAAATTAGTGAAGTACTAGATAAAATTCGGTTGATAGCCAATACATTCATACATGAATTTCGCGTAGTAGAAGGTAAATAAATGAGTTCTTTCCTAACATTCAAATATATTTCTTAATAATCTATTGATATCAATTGTATGTAGGAATGCCTGAATTATATCGTGAATGGCAAACTAGACACAATTGTTCATTTCATTATTTGAGTGCTATGCCTGATCAATTGTTTACAGTTACCAAAGAATTTGCTGATAAGCACCAATTTCCTGATGGTACTTTTCATATGCGGTAAAATTTCTTATTTTCTTTTCATCAACATTATATTATGTATTATCATATATTTTTCTTTCGATAGTCACTTACAGTGGTCTTCATCGTCAATTTTTAATTTCGTTCATTCAATTGGTATGTATGACATTTCTTGTTCTATATTCTGTAGTTATATTTTTTCTAAACTGATTGAATAGATACAAAAATGCACAAAACCAATCATATACGTTACTTTATTTTTAATACAGTACGTTCATTGGTATTAGTAGGAGATTCAGGTGAACATGATCCAGAAATTTATGGAAATGTTGCGCGAATGTATCCAAAAAGAATTTTGCGTATTTTTATTCGAGCTGTAAAAGGTGAAAAAGTTGATGATGAACGATTTTTCAAAGCATTCAAAGATGTACCAAGAGAAAAGTGGCTGGTTTTTACTGATCCACTCAGAGATTTACCGAAGACTTTAATTAAAACATCAACTTCAGAGATGCCAAAGTCAACTACAGCGCCATCAGAACCAAAACCAAAACCAAAACCAACGAACAAGAAACCCAAACCTAAAGCATAGTGGAAAAGATAAAATGAAAATTTCTTTTGAACAATTCCTTTTTTGTTTGAATTTTAAATATATACAGGCACCATAAATTTAGTTAAATGCTATAAATCAAGCTTTCCGATACTGTTCTACTAGTTTATATCATATATACTGTCAGTGTAAATGATATAGAATAAGAATGAAATAGACTATATAAAATAGTAAATTATTCTTTTGTGTAGCAGAAAAACTTTGGAAAAAAACCCTCATATCTTTTGTTAACAAATTCGTTAGCATTTTTTGAACATCAACATGATATCTTACATTTTCTTCTTAGCTTATGTTCGTTGAATCTTGAAAATGTTTAGTAAACTACTTATTATTTTATACGTAATTGTTGAAATATATACGAGTTTTCATTTCACGAATGCATCCTTTTTGTTATGATACTATACACGGTTGACCTTTTATTTCAAAATAAATTTATGTCTCAGTCTATCAAAACGGATCACCTCTAAACAGTTGTAACGTCATCACAAACTGGTTCTTATAGACTGTATTCTCATCGTTAAGATCTTGTCATATTACAGTATTTTATTGTAGAACCAATTGTATTATTGCCTACATTATTACAGGCAAACACAGTGGCTGTAATGGGTCATACTTCTATCGCTTACAGAGCGTTGCGTTCGACCTGAGTATGACAAATAGAAATAAAAACGTATAATAACTAGAACATTATGAGGAAACTAACTCTCAGAACCGTGAATACAATTTTGGGCACAATTTAAAGATCGCCATCTAATTTCATCAATTGGTAGAAATGATCAGCAATTTTTATGTTTTCTTTCATTAATTCGTAGTATGTGTTTTGTTGATTTTAATCCAGTTCATTAACAAGTATTCCATTACCAACTAACTCATCGATTTAGAAAATCATTTTAACCATCGTAAAAGCAAAAATCTTTTTATTGAAATAACCAGAAAACAATAAGACTAAACAGAAAGAAAACAGGAAGTAGAGACTATGAATCACGCATCAGTATAAGATCATCTATTTTATTCGATGGAACAATAACTTACAAGTGTATATGAACCGAAAAGAGCAAAATGATGGGGACAGCCATTGCCGAATGACACTTTTTTTATTATCTTACTCACAATGAGAAGTCAATTAGAGTAATGAATGAATGCGAAATAAAAAGAATCGATAAGATCGAACAGTAATATTGTTTTCACAGCTCGCAGCTGAAAATATTTGACTAATACGATTTCACGCATTAAAAATTTTCTTTTTTCTCATAGAGTAAAAATTACGTTCTTCTTTGCAGTTAAGTTTTCGAACAAATACGATTTCAGACTATTATGCACTTTGGCTACATTAGATATCCTTTTTATTATTGTTTTTCTCCTGATAGGATCAGATAAGGATTTTGCTGGCTATAAGAAAATTGATCACTTTCTACAAGTCGATATTAAATAATAAGTAATATCGATGATCTTTATTTTAGCATTTAAATTATTTCATTCAAAGGTCTTGTAGACTATATATGTATTTCATTGTTATTTTTAATTTTTTTTATTCATGCATAGGAAAGATTTTGCTCGATCAAATTTGAAATGAATTTTCAAAACTACTCGTAATCTTTAAAATGTTTTAAAAACTTAACTTATTTACTAATACATTATTGGCGCGTACAAGAAATCCTCAATACTGTTGTACATTCACAAATAGATAGGCATTCACGGTGAACGCTATGCGTTAATTATTATTAGTTAAAATTAAAATAGTAAGTAAGACACACAGCTGGAGCTGGTAAGAAATCCATAAACCGGTCCTGTCCGGATGGCTAAAAACTTTTACCAGCCGGACATAAATTACTCTTGAACCGGTGAGATTCCGACAAATCGGACAAAATCAGGTGAAGTTGATTCCTTAAAATTGTGTCAGATAGTCAAAATACGGTAGAAACTGATAGAGTGAGTTCCAGCAATGATGCCAATTAGCTCTGGTTAAGTAGGTCTATTCAAATGTTATGACTCAGCTCCTCACATTATAAATGCTGATAGCTGAGTACTCTAAATTTTCTGATCAAGCTTCTAAGGAAAAGTATTTTGAAAATATACTTTAAAGAATTCGCATTCTTAATGAGATATGATTAAAGCTATCAACAAATCTGTAGAAAAGAAAAGATAGACGTTTCAAATTTTATTATCAAATCATCTTTCCACAACTATGTATGATAAAAAATAGCACTGCCAATAAAATAGAATGCATCGACCAACGAAATTGATCTACTGGCGCACTTTCGTTGATTTTTCTTTACTATGAAAAAAATATAAGATTTATTGTTTGTGTATATGATTACAATCAAATATTCCTTCTGAACTGCAGAAAATTTTCCATCATCAAGAGTTTCGTGAGACTTTCTATATATAAGGGGTGCATCAAAAGTTTTGAAATAATTTTTAAATTTATCATTTTCCCATTTATTAGAATCGAATCGTTTTGGAACTTTGATAGATTGTTGAGCATACCTAGTACTACATAATCACAAAGTTTCAAATCTACATCTAAGCCTATTGATGAGAAACTGCAAAAAAAACTGCGATGTATTTTTTTCAAAATTTTCCGACTGTTAAAATTGATGTAAAAATAAATGGAAAGTTGCGATTTCCAGGGTGTTTTAACTAACATGTGCCAAAGTAGAATATCTTTCTTTTATCGATATATTTTTGCTTCTGCACGTGCTGACAAACGGAGTATGCAAAGAACAACATTAATCCGTTACAACTGAATCAATACAGAATGTCGCGTGAACAATCAGTGACAGATAAAAAAGAATTTCGTTCATTTGTACAATTGAAAAACGATATTAGAAGCGAACAAAATCAATTTAGGGTGTCTTTATGTCGACGAATGATCGACAAAATACCGAAAAGACTAAAATTAGTTATCGATGCAGGTGGTAATCAAATACAAAAGTATTGTTAATTTGATTCGTTTTCTATATTTGAATGCATTATTCTGATGCTAATAGACTAGATGATGACAAAATTGTGAAAATTAATGCATGATACTTCTAGTAAGAAGATTAAAAGTAACAACTTTGCTTTTATTTTTACATCAATTTTAACTGTCGGAAAATTTTGAAAAAAATACATCGCAGTTTTTTTTTGCAGTTTCTCATCAATAGGTTTAGATGTAGATTTGAAACTTTGTGATTATGTAGTACTAGGTATGCTCAACAATCTATCAAAGTTCCAAAACGATTCGCTTCTAATAAATGGGAAAATGATAAATTTAAAAATTATTTCAAAACTTTTGATGCACCCCTTATATATTGATAGCCCAATTTCATTATATCTACTTCTTAGAAAAACTCATGAAACAGTTTTTTAACAAAAATAGAGCTAAATGAAGATAGTTATTTTTAAATTTTAACCGGTGATTTTCCAGCATTTTCCGGCCCGGTTCCACCGCTGGTAAGACAAGTGGCAGAATTTTCTATTTAGATAGATGTACATCTAGATGTACAACATCTTGTAAGCAAGATCTGCACATCTTAGGATCGGTAAGTAAGATCTTATCAAGATTTTAAAAAAATAATTTGTATGTACATATCTTGGTTGTATCAGACAAATCTGTACCTAAGATCTTGGCAAGATTATGGAAAGATATCGTTTACCATTATCTTCTCACAAGATCTTGAGTAAAACAGACAGCGGCATCATTGGTGCATTTACATGGACTATCTAGTCATTCACCGTTTTTTTTATACATACAGAGCTGAATATAAGCATCATGATTGAACGTGCGAAACATAATTTTTCAAAATAAGTTCCTTCTAAACTGTTTCTTGATTATTGATTATTCGAGGGAATGCTGATCTCGATCGATGATCGAGAGAGGACTACCCTAAATTGATCTGACGGATATCTGATCAACTTAAAACCAGTCAGATCCCAGCATCTGCCTTGCTTGAGCTATTCGGGACAGGAATAATTAAAATTAAGATTCATTGAAAAAATATCAAAACATGCTTTCAGAATGCGTCATTCTAGATCTTATGGATTCTTACCTAAGATTTGTAATAAGATCTTGGTGCAAGATAATCGTATTATCTTGTACCTAAATTTTCAAGATCTGTCCACTTATCTGTACCCAAGATCTTACTTGCAAGATGTTTCACTAGATAGCAATGGATCTGGTTTGCAATTGAACGATTCAAATGATAAACTCGCTAATACCACAAGTGAAGTAACTTTTGTATTTCAATGTTCTGAAACAAAAACAAATTCTTTCTTTTTAGGAAAATTTCGATGCACAATCGCGTGAAGTTCAATTTGGAAATGAATTTGATTTAAATCGAGAAAATGTGAATCGAGTATTCGTGTGTCATAATCATAAGGAAAATGTGGTAACATTTCTTTCTAGCTCATACGACAATAAAACAAATGCTGTTTTTTTTAGGACATTTTTATTGAATCGCGATGGAGCAATATGGTGTGAAGAGTGATTCTTTACCGTGAGGAGTTTACCAAGACGTATATGTAGATGGTAGTGAAAATAAGGTAATTGAACTTTAGCGTCTTACGAAATCATCAAAATGTTGTTTTGTTTACAGGAAGCAGCAGGTGGCATATATTCTGGCTATGAAAAAAGTGTCTAGTTATGAAAAAAAAGAAGTCTGATTATGCATCTGAACGGTTAACTTCGTCGAATATAGTGTAGAATTAAATGTTGAAGAATATTACGTTGGGATGAAATCGAACAAAATATCTGTGATAATTAAACATCTTTCACGCCAAGAAATTGAGAAAGAAATAAATAGCACGATCAAAAATATTTTATCGTTGATTGGAGATCGTGACAAGGAAACATTATTCGTTGCAGATGGGTACTGCCATCTTAGTATCTTGTTTGACAAATAAGTTTTTTCTTCAAGTTGCGATTTTTTTTGATTTGCGTTTGTAAATGTATATTGAATTAAAATGCTGTTTAGACTAAATAGACCCAATCAATCAATATCTGAATATGCTCACTATATAATGGACAACTTTATAGTTATGGCATGGATATGAAATATGTTGTTCAGATATTTTCTACTCCATATCATATTATAGTCCTGGTAGGTGAATTTCTAACTTTCATAATCGATGAAAGAAGCTTAAAATATTATTTGAAAACGATCATTTTTCTATCATTAATATTGTCTTTATTAAATTAAATTTCCTATACATTTGTATTGAGATGATGAACATAATATAGAGATGTTAATATTACCTTAATAGCAGTAATTTTACTGATGAGAATATGCTGAGATAAAATTACAAATTAAGTAAATGAATTTATTTAAAATCTTTTAAAATTTGTGTTAGAAAATTGGCGTAAATACTCTGGCTATTTGATGCATGAAATTGTACATGGGTGTCGTGGAATTCACCCCATGTTTTCTCAACGACGCAATTTAGCTTTGGGATTGCATTTAAGAACAGCTTTGTCCAATAAGCATATATTTGGCTTGGAAGAGATTAGAATTGATTTAACGCGATAAGTTTATTAACTTTTAAATCATAGTCAAACTGTTTATATATAATCCCGGCCATTCATCTGTTCTTCTTCGACAAGACGTGTTTCTCAATCAATTACAGCTGGCTAAAGAGCTCTACTTACTTGCAATGATTATATCAAGAAACAGCTTCATCGAAACGATTGATGCAGTACTTGAGGTATAGTTGTTAATACCATGTTATGATAATCTTTTCTATCGTTGTAGGTTTTGAATTTTGAATATGGAACCGTGGAACTGGATATGTTAAATTCAAAATTTTCAAACATCTACTTTGACTGTTCACCTTATCACATCATCAACAGAGAATTACAACAGGTGATACAACAAGTTGATATTAAACGTATCATTCCAGAAAGTTCAGCTCCTCACCTCCAGATACCTGAAGTAAATATTAGTTAAAGCGATTTTTAAAAGATCCAATCGATTTTCCATTTTATTCCTAGCGCCCAAATATATGGGAGTCTCACCCAATATTTGTTGGTCGCGTATATCAATTAATTGCCGAATTATTTGATATACCTCTACGTAGGGGTGGGCCATTAACATTAATTTTATATTAATGTTAATGTTTCTCATTAACCATTAATATTAATGCTTAATGTTTTCTAAGAAAAACTTAATTCATTAATATTAATGATTAATGAAAAACATTAACATTAATTTTAAAATTAATGTTTTCATTAATCATTAATATTAATGTCAATGTTCTTAAATGATATTAACGGTTAACGGAAACATTCACCATTAGTATGAATAGCAATGTTTTCGTTAATATTATGGATTATACTTTCATTAATCATTAATATTAATGTTAATGTTTTCATTAAAATCAATGACTTAATATTAATGGTTAATGTTTTCATGAAAGCATTATAACTTTCCATATTAAGTAATTAACACTTTCGGAGAAAACATTAGCTATTAAGATCAGTTAATTGATTAATAATTGTAGATAATGTTTCCTTAGAAAAGCCTAATTCAGTAATATGGAAAAATTAATGTTTTCATGAAAACATTAACATTAATATTAATGATTAATGAAAATATAATCCCTAATATTAACGAAAACATTACTATTCATACTAATGGTGAATGTTTCCTTTAACCGTTAATATCATTCAAGAACATTGACATTAATATTAATGATTAATGAAAACATTAATTTTAAAATTAATGTTAATGTTTTTCATTAATCATTAATATTAATGAATTAAGTTTTTCTTAGAAAACATTAACCATTAATATTAATGGCTAATGGAAGTCATTAATTAATGTCATTAATTAAGTTCCGTTAAAAAAAATGGTCCACCCCTACCTCTACGTCAAGCACCAAACCAACTACTCAAAAAACTTTAAGACGTTTTATAACCTCTCCTAACTCTTCTGCATATATCCAGACTTCCAAATCTTGTCCTTTTTCTTTTCTTCATTTGTTTCCCATTTTTTTTGCATATTTGTTTATTTTGAAGAATAAATATTTTCCGGAAAGCCCCGTGCGGTGTAAAATGTTGAACTCATATATCATATGCCACTTGTATGAAAACTAACGCAATACAGAATCTGATTTACTTACAATGAATTTCACCACTTATTTAGCAACAAGATGATAACGAGGTTTAACCTATACAATATATTGAAACCACCAATAGTGGATATAGCTCCTTTTGAATTAAGAATCAGTCACATTCAGCTCAACTTCAAGGGAGCTGATCAAAAGCTAAGTACCCAACTCCTGAAGTTGTCTCGCTCTGAGGTAAACGGACACATGACGATGCTAAAAACATACCAACGTTCCAATAAGTATTCTTACGGATCCTCGAAGCATACCTCAGTGTGGGACTTGCTTCTTACAGAGTTAGCTAACATCCCCAGGATAGCTTCTAGTTCTGGGTGAAAACGCTGTAGCCATTGGAAGGTGGGTATGAGATACAGTACCTATTCTGGTCTTCCTCTTTAGGGCTACCAGCGAATGTGATGAGGATCGACTTGACTGTGTGCACAGAGACCCTTTTCTGGTCGTGGCTCTGCGGGGGACGCTTTGTGCCTCCACGTCGCAACGCTCAAATAAAAGTGTGTGTAAGTAATATGCTGAGCTTTGTCAAGACTCTCGTCATGTTAATACTAAAGATCACAGCAAATTGTTTTGCTATGACGAAATGGAGTGGGCATTGGTTGAGCGGATAGTAAAATCTGTGAAAGTATGATAATAGCGTACAGCCACATTGTGGCAGATGGTCAGCTCACCGTAGTAGTATATTGACGTATGACAGAACGCGGCGTTGCGCTGCTAGCAATCATGAAATCTTTAGCTGAAGACGCACCCCATGTTGCTCTGCACTTCAGTCAGGAGCCATCTTTGCGATATAGAAGCCTATCTGATCATTCCGATGTGGTGTTGACAATATGTAGCAGTTATCCTTTACTAAACAGTTTCATTATTCTGTTAGAAGAGTGTCGGAAGTGTGGTTGTTGATTATACAAAGTTTTACTAATGGACAGATGCTGATCTGGCTCAGTAGTCGAGCAAGCGCGCTTTTAAATTTTCACTTTTTGAAACGTCATCCAGTGATGCCTCAATTCGAATTATGAAATTTATAACTAGGATAAAATTTTTATCTTTTGCTTGTTGCTATAACTATATGAGTGCCCGATTTTTTATTTTCGAATTGATATTCTGTAGTTGAACCTCCACTTATATTCGAATTTGAATTAAGTATCTCATGCTATTTTGAGAATAAATAAGTAATGTTAGGTGCCAATTTGATTATATTTATGAAATCTAATCTGATTTCCAATCAATCGCCTGACATGAATATATTGATTGACAAAGAGCTCCCTCTCTTAATCACTTTTTTTCTCTATGATCTTCATAGAAGCATTTGGTCACATGAGAATTACTTATTTGTTCTTCTTCATCTTGAAGCATATTTTCTTTCTTTTGTTAGAGGTCCCTTGGACTTTCTTCGTATATCATCAGCCTGGAAAATACTACTATATATAAAGAACAAAACGAATGCGAAAAGATCACGTATAGAGAATGAATATATTATCCATTCCCTTACACCATCGGATAATCCGATTCATTTTATTTTATTTGCTCGCGAGCGCATTCATCTTCCTTCTACTTGGTTAATATCACAATGTTGTTTCTAATCGATAATATTAATTGGGTAAACAAATCATCTTAAATAAATAATAACTTACGGTTTTGGTTTAGACAAATAAAATAACAGGGAAATTTGATGTCGAATGGATTGAATTTAAACAAAAACCAATTGATCGCTTTCTCTTGATGGAGCAAAAAAAGAATAATCCAACACCTGAACATCTGGTCGAAATTAATAGTGTGAAATTAATAGTATTTCTCGACAATTGAGAAAATTAGCAAAGGAATAAAAAAAAAGCTATAAAACTGTTAAGAGAACTAGAATTGAAATATCGCAATAAGATGAACATTCAAATTTGTAATAGGAATCTGTGAATTTTGTTTATTTATTTATGTATTTATGTATTTTTTCAGTGTCAGCTGTAGCACCAGGCACTGGATTACTTGCACCAGAAGATGGTGAAGAAAATAATGATGATGAAGAAATGGCTTAATTTATCATGTTGCTACAAAAAAGACATTTTTTTATTTTTATCTCAATTTTTTGTTCTTACCTTTTCATACGAAACAACGCTCTCATTAAATGACAAACATATAGAACAATCTGGAAATTTCATTTCCCCTCTCTTTTATTGACTATAGTAATGTTGCTATTCATAAATAGTTCAAGTTTAATGATTTCATCGCTGACTTTCTTTTGATTCTAGAGAATAGAAAGTCTCATAGGAAGAACAAAAAAAAAAGATCTTAAGATCTTTCGAACCTAATGCATTCTTCTTCATTTAAAATAAAATCGAAACATGATGTTTCCAACAATAAATTATTTGCTGAACGCACATTTATTATGTAAAATAAAACATTAACAAGAAAAAAATTCAATAAATATAAATAAAATATTTCATTCTTTTTTTTAAACAATCTAGAACATTTATAATGACTAGAGGAATATACAACATAAAAACAACAAAAATATATTTAAATAAGGTTTGCTTAGATCGATTGGAATTTCCAGTTTGACTTTGAGATTGTATTCACCGATTGGAAGCATTTAAATCAAAAGCTTGACTACCACGATCAGTTGGTGAGCGAATTGAATCTTGCATTAAGATAACCAGCTGTTGATGAAGCTGAATAGCGATGATGATGTCTAAATGTATGATGATGATGTAAAGATGCATGTGGTGTTCAATTATTTCCTGATAAACTATTAACACCACTTTCAGATCCATTTTCACGTTCATCTAATCATGGTAAACATGTTACAGCCATCACTTCTAATCAATTAACCAATAATTTCACATTATTTGGATTTTGTCTTGAAACATTAAGTGGTCCAGTAAAACGCCATGAACCTCCAAAACCACATGATTGTAAATAACTAAGTTGCTGTTGTTGACTTGCATCATCACCAGTTGAACAAACAGTCATTTGATTTATTATCGATTACCCAGGTCATTATCAATCAGCCGGACCTTCTCGGACGGGCTATAATTCCGATGCCACATTGTGACCGGATTCGGTCGGTTAAGTTCTGGCGAACTCCGATTATTTTCTTTGTTTTCTTATGAAATTTGGTTACTGGATTCTCCGACAACCGGCCAGATTTACATTACCGGAAAATACGAAGTCAGACGACACGATTGGACCGTATACGACGTGATCCGACAATATCCGGTAACAAAAGCTTTACCAGAATCCGCTGTGCCGTATGACGCTCGATTTCATGGTAGATCCGGCTTAATCAATATCACCGGAACCAGTCGGATCATATCAGAAATGAACAGTCCTACTCACCGGATTAAGCCACTTTCTGCAACAAAGATCCGATCAAAAACATCTCCAACTAATTATCAGATACTAAAGGAAGATCTTGTGATCCATTCAGACCGTTAGTTAACAGCTCATACAAGCAATGATAGGCATGAATTAAAAATTATGGTTCATCCAATAGGTTATTTATGAAAAGTCAATCCACATTAGCAATATGATTATGTATTTATTGATGCTGAGCGAAGTTATCGACCCGGATGAATTTCACTCAAGTCGTTTATCATAACCCCTACTAATATAACCTGATTCCACGATCATCTTCTGGTATAATGCGAGATCCAGAGCCATTAATGATTACTCACAACGAGATAAATTTGCTATATATATGCATACTATGTTGTTCGTCCATGCAATTCGAAATCATTTAAAACGTCGACCACACCTATGTGCTCGCTCTGCCAAGACCAAAAGAATCATTTCAAATCACCAACAAACGCTCTTGAGGACGCTAGGATGTTGCTTACACAAATTATTAATTAATTTATATGCCATTAAATCGGTTTTGAATGTCGCTCAGAATTATGTTGCATGAGGGAAAAGTATCTTGCAACGGTCTAGAATGATTCTCTACTACTTATGCAATATTTCGATGGGTGCAAAATTGTGTGTGGAGCGATTTTTTTATTAATTTGAATGCTACAAGATGACTCATTTAACAGGTTTAGAATGTTATTAATGGATGAAAAAATAAGTGGTGATGGTCCAGAATGATATTCAGATGCATTATCTATGGATTATTAATTATTTTGATAGGTGTAAAATGGTGTGTGGAGCGATTTTTCCAAGAATTAAAATGCTGCACAATTACCCAGTAAACGGGTTTACAATTTTGTTTATTCATGAGGCGCAGTTGTGTCGTTTGGTGTGCGTTTTCGGAAGGCTACAGTTGATGCATCTTCTGATTGAAGAATGTTTGCACGAGATATTTTTTATGAGATCGTTGTCATCGGAATCTGATGGAATCCGGTGAAAGATGTGGTGAAGCCCGTGTGAATCCGGAATCATCCGGCAGGAAACGACTGGACCATTTTCCTTTGAATTCCGGCCCGAATTCCGTGAGCAGAGATTCCGGCGAAATCCCTGTCGAATCCTGGCAGATTTTAGTGGGAAACATGCCGGCTTCTGGAGTAATCTGGTGCCGGTTCCTATGGGTCCCGGCAGGATCCGGAGGCAGGATCGAGTGACTTGAGTTAGTATTAGCTAATAAGATTAGAAAAATCCCTAGTCGAACTTTTTTATTCATGCGCTTGCCAAGACTTGAGCTCCAGATGTGTCCATAGTGCATGACTTTCGTGCTTAAGACAAACGCTTGAAAGTTTGCATGAATTTTAAAAAAAAGCAACTATAGATTTTTATTACATGTTGAGTTATTTTGAACGTCAAATTGAAAAAAATTGAAAAAGTTCTTTAATAACAGAAAATTTGAGTGCATGAGCAAGAAGTGTAAGAAGTTGAGCTCACCGAAAGGCCTCGTGTCTTGCCTCAAGATGTGTTCATAGTTCTTGACTTTCTTGATCAAGAAAGTCAAAATTTGCATGCGCTTGCAAAAAAAAGTTCGACTAGGGATCATTCAAACTCCTACAATGAATGTTACCTTTGGATTTAAAGCTGGCAACAGAATTTCTTCATTATTCAGCAGAACATTCCGAGGCACTAATGATAATAAAAGAATAGTTTATGATTATTCATGTTATGATTGTAAAAGATATTATATAGGCCATAGACAGCAAGAGGTGCTGAAGTTCGTAAAGAAGAACATAAAAATGCTTTCAACGGCAAACGTTACTATGAAATCGCAGAACATTGCCTTAATAATAATCATCGTAACAATTGGAATACTGACATTGGAACCATAGAATCTAATGGTTTAAAAAGAAATATAAAAGAAAGCTTACTCATGGATTGGTAAAGTCATTAGAAGGACAAGCAAGTGTACTCACAAAAGAGCTTCATTCTAAATGTATTCTGATCGCTAACAATCCAGGACGATGTTTCCGGCCTCCGGAAATGAGCGGATTTAATTGGAACCGGTCAGGAACATGCAGGAAACGCACCGGAACGTGCAGGAAAACGCCGGATATCACCGGACCTTGGAAGCAGTATTCTGGGCGGATTTCTCCGGATTTTCCCGGTGTTTTCCGATGATTTCCGACGGGAACCAACAGGAACTTGACGGAACTTACAGGAAAAATCCGGAGATTTCCCGGTCCGGAATACTGCTTCCGTGAAATCACGGGAACCGGCCGTTTCCCGGACCGGTTGCTTGGACCTGGGAAGACACATTATTTTGGCGGCGATAAAAATTTCTTTATTTATTAAAAGAAAACGTTTGCTTTTAATATGTCTTTGTTCCTTTCTCTCTCTTTGTATTGTTCATATATTTACTCTTATATTGTTCTGTCATTTCATTTCATTTTCTGACCGATGATGTTATGAGTACATAACCAAGCGTTTCACTATCTCAATAAAATGATTAAAACGGTGTCTATTATTCTCATTTTTTATTTAGATATCTCATCAATTCTCCCCAGACAAACACCCGGGGGTTCCCCAGGGATTTCGTTATTTTGCGGGGACTCCCTGGGGAGTCGTCGGAGAGAGAGAGAGAGAGGATTAGAGTGGGTAAAAATAATAATTCTACGATATGCACGCCATCTATAAACGGCATTATAATTCGCTGTCGGCAAGAAACGAATGAACATAAAGTTAGTTGTTGAAGAAGCTAAATGTAAGAATTATTTTACTACTATTAGTATTATTATTATCATTTTTAATAATGCTTACAAAAAATTTTTCTGGTGCTCTTCAACTAACTGATTTAGATGATTTTATTGGTCCATCCCAAGTATTTTCCTATTTTTTCTCTTTTTTCAATTCTTTTATGCGATGTTCATTTTAGCAATGTATCATACCTATGCAAACAAAGCTTGCCGATAATATTGATGATGGTCTTATTAAATTACGTAGCAAAAAATCTAATGTATAAATATTTTTTTATGAAATTTTATCTTAACTTTTTGGTTTTTTTTTCGTACTTTACAGAAAACCGATGAAGAATCACAACCAAGAGTCGCTAAAATAACATTAAATGATTGTTTAGCATGCAGTGGATGTATTACATCTGCTGAAAGTATTCTAATTGATCAACAAGATTACCATGAAGCACAACGTTCACTTCAACATAATCAGACACTTGATCAGAACGTACGTGAACCTTTTAATTCATATTAGTTCAATATCATCTTATTTTAGGATCCAAATCGTAAAGTAACTGTTATTTCAATTTCTCCACAAAGTCTATCATCAGTTGCTGTTAAATATAAACTCGATGGATTAACATGCGCACGACGAATAACATCATTCTTAAAGCTAAAGTACAAAAATAAATTGCAACCAAACATATATTTTGTTTTTTTTTATAAATTTTCTTCTCTAGATTAAAAATTGATCATGTTTATGATATATCATATGCACGAAATTTTGCTTTAATTGAAATGAAAAATGAGTTTATTAAAAGATTTCGAAATAATCGTGAAAACTTGCCATTGCTTACTTCCGAATGTCCGGGTTGGATTTGTTATGCAGAAAAAACTCAAGGAGAATATATTATTCCATATATAAGTCGAGTAAAGTCACCACAACAAATTCTCGGATCATTTATCAAAAGAAATAAGAACGAAAATATTTATCACATATCAATTCAACCATGCTTTGATAAAAAACTTGAAGCATCAAGACAAGATTTCTATGATGAACAGCGACAACAATATGATGTGGATTGTGTTATAGCAACCGGTATGTTCTTTTATTTCTAAAAAGTTACGTAGATATTTCAACCATGTACAAATTCGTATGTATAATTAAAGTTGCTACACTATCTTACTATTGTAAACATAATATTCAACAACTTGAAATCGAGACAAATATATCTATCTATATTTTTTAATGATTGAAATTCATTTTCTAAAATATTATCATTTTAATTGGAAACTTCTAGAGTATAATTATTAGCATTTTAATTTATAGCTGAATTTGATAAATGGCTTACTGAAGAACAATTTGATCCTCAATCTAATTCTGATCTTGATTATGATGAGCCGTATGCTTCAGATAATTATTTCTTTAAATATATTTAATAATCTATTGTTGATAGATATTGTATGAAAGATGAATATGGTCAAATGATTCTTACACATCGTGGTAGTGGTTCAGGTGGTTATCTCGATTATATATTTCGTTGTGCTGCTAAAGAACTATTCAATATTGATATGGATAGTGCACCATTAGAATTTAAAGCTACAAAGTATGAATATTTTATTTCGTCTACTAAACTGATTTTCTACTTTTCTCATTTAAGAAATCAAGATTTTCGTGAAACTCTTTTAACAGTCGATGGGCAAATTCAACTTCGTTTTGCCTATGCCTATGGTTTTAGAAATATTCAAAATATCGTTCAAAAACTTAAGCGAAATAAGTGTGAATATGATTTTGTAGAAATCATGGCATGTCCATCAGGCTGTATCAATGGTGGTGGACAAATACGTAATAGTGATACTAATCTAGATGATGTTCGACGTACATATGAAGCATTACCGTATCTTAGTCAACCATTAGATTTAAGATTAGATGATAAAAATCATATTCCTTTATTTACTGAGTACCGACCGATTGAAAAAAATCTGTTGAATACTTTTAATTTAAAATGGTAATCTTTTTAATGATGTTTTCTTGATATTTTTCAGATATATAATAAGAAACAACCAATGGCACTTGATCTTGCTATGACCTCACAATTAGCACCCTACGATGACGAGGAGGAAATACAATTGATGGATACTGATTTAACAAATTTGCAAGAAGAAGAACAATTTGTTAATACAACAGAAAGTGTTGTCAATGAAGAAAAACAAGAAGAAAATAATGATATTGATGAATTAGAAAAAACTGACGACAAAATACCATCATTACTTGTCATTGAGGTTTGTTCTATTTTCAAAAAAGAGATATTTCGATCCCACATTTGTTTTGAAAGTAATGTAACGGATTATTTATTTATTGTAGAAACTCAAAGTGTATATTCGAGATGGACCCAACAAGCATCATGTAGAAGCAATTCCTTTTGTAAGTACAAATCATTTTGTTAAAATAGCTGTCTATTATTTGATTTAGGATGAAAAATATTATGAAATACCTACTACAAACAGTTTAGCATCAGTCAAATTAACAGAAGAAGAAATCAAAGATATTTGGCAAAGGTAATGAAATATTTTTGTCGAAATAAAAAATTCAATTTGAATTAAATCAAAATAAGAGTTTAAGTAGCAGTAAACTAATCATGTTAAAGACACCAACACTGCACAAATTAAAAATTGTTCTTTATTATATCACAAAGTTATTTTAATTGATGGATCTCTAATTTTCTGAAGTCACAGTTCAGCGTGACTGATAATCAAAACAAAAACAATAAATACTTTCTATGTCTTTAACATGAATATTATTTCGGACTAATCTCGCTTCTTCTATAAGAACTTATTTCCAATAAAGTAGATTTTCCAAAATTTATTTTCTTATTATATTTTTTATCTTAGTTTAAATTTGACTCAAGAAGATTTTCGTACGTCATTGACACCAACTGGTATATCTCGCCCTGAATCTCTCTATGTTCGTGGTGTTACCAATATGGGTACACAAGATATATTGAATTGTTTTGAAGAATTTCAACCGATTGGTATCGAATGGATTTGTGATCATTCATGTAACGTCTTTTGGTATGACAGTTTAACACCCATACATCTTCTTGCAACAATGACAAAACCCGGTCCGTGTATATCTCATCGACGTCCTGTAGATTTTGATCATGCTATGCGATTATCGAAACGAAAATCATCATCATTAACATCTACAGATAGTGAAAATAATTCAGCTGAGATAGCACTTCCGCCTGGTCATTGGCGTGAAGGAAATTTTCCATTAGTTAATAAACCGGAACCATCTATTAAATTCTATCTTCGATATACAACAATGAATGACCGAAAAGTACGTGGAGCTGAAAATCAATCTGAATACTATCGACAATATGGTAATCCTAATTATAAGTGAGGAAAAAAAGCTTTTTATTTGAATTTTGAATATTAAATTTTTTCTATTGATTAGTAACATGACTGGCCTTATATCTCGTTCAAAAAAGCGTTCATTAAATGCAATGAAATTAAATCCGTTTCGAGATTTTACTGTTGTCAAATCGAATGATCCAACATCTTACTCGAGTAGTGTCGTGGAAGAACTAACAACAACAGAGGATAGTACAACTGATCCAAAAGTTAAATTTACGGTTGTCCTTCCTCCAAAAAAGAGTTCACCTAGTCGAGAAACGGAAGAAGATGATGAAGGAGAACATAGATCGAAACGACAACGACGACGATCGATAGATACTGATGAGGATCGTCAACATAAAGAAAAACCTCACTTTACTGTAACTATTGATCCAGCCTCTAAACATACAAAACATTCAAGGAATAAAACTCATGAAACGTCAAAAGCAAATAAAGAGTAAGAATAGAATTTTTTTACATAAATATTACTAGGATTTTTATTATTCGTATTGCAGTAATGATGAAGATGATGATACATTGGCACCTGTCACTGATGCTCGACAAATTCTTGAAAGAAAGCGACGAAATCGACGATGATTTTCAAATTAGCTTTTGTTTTCGTTTTTTTTTCCTTTTGTATTATAAAAGAAGCTTGTTCCATACTAATTCCGAATAAGATTTATGTGTTCAGTTTAGTTTGTCTTGCATCGATACTGCCTAGTAATTTGAACTTCAATAGAAAGAATAGAGCTGAAATTTTGAAGTCTTAAAAAGTGTATTAAGCCATATAATACATCAATGACGAGTGTAAATTAGCCTATTAGAAATAATTGTAAAATTCGTATGCTAATGATAAGTTTCTTCTTTCTTTAATTTTTAGCTATCCAATCAAAGTTAATTCGACTTGCTATACTAAATAACTTCTTAAATGAAAGATAGCGAGAATCTAACTGTACACTTGTTTGTTTCTGTAGCTAATAGCGTACTGAATTTTTCTTTGTTGAGATTATATCTGATACTCTAACTGAGCGTTGAAACAATATCATAAACGAACAGTTAAAATAAAGTATTCGTATTTCTTATGCATGCCAATTGGAAAACATATGATTATCTTGATAAGTTATTAACTTCGTCAAAATTCAATGTAACATAGGATTGAAATTTCTACTAAGTTTTTCGTAGAATATGATTTTTTTTCTGTTTAATATCAATGTTATTTGAGTCAATACAAAAGAATCCTTAAGAAACCTATTCTAGACAGTCAAATATTGTTTCATGCAATATATTTGTACTAAATTTCAGTATCATTTTGAGAAGTGATTGTGAAAATTGAAATAGAATCATCATGACAGAAACCTGTTCCACGCTCACTAAACATAAAGACATAACAGGATAGCGATATTGTTGTCGAAATGTTATCAACGATACAAAAACAAAGACAGACTATGGTAAATCAAGTAATATCAGATAATAGTAATAATAATATTTTAAAGTGTTCGGGTTCCAGACTATAGCGTGGTTAAAGTATTCTTTAAAGTGATGCTATAATAAGACACATATGATGAACATATCGAAAACGAGATACGTAGATGAGCATCACAATTTCTATCCAACAATTTACACAAACAACATATTGCAAAAATCAATACAGAAAGTCACATCGGTTAGAGATACACTTGATCGATCGTGTATTGCATGATATCAGTAGTAAATAACGATCAAAAAGAAAAATTCTATGGAAAATACCATGAAAAATATAAGAAAAATCTTTGTCATGTAAATCAATAGATTGATAATGTTTTTTCTACATAAATTAGATCATTGGAGAAAGTAGATACAAAAGAAAAACAGACTTCACTTGAAAAATAGTGATATATCAACGCTGAATCACAACTTTTAGCGAAATAAACGGATCAATTTAAAAGTAACTTTTTAATTCTTCTCAATGCTCTAAAGTTGTAGGATAAAAAATTAATTTATTATACAGTGATACAATAGCACAAGAAAACGACTGCAAATTATGACATACACATTAATAATCTATCATATTACTTTTGCATTAAGTAACACTAATCAATTGACACATATATAAGGTTATAGTTTTCAGTAAATTATATGACTTTTAAAACATGAATATCAATCGTTGGCTTAATTATTTGTTCATCTTGAACAAAAGCATAGAAACAATGATTGATAAGAGAAAATTTTTTCATCTTATCGGTAAGTCAGTTATGATGTTAATAGTTTTCTTTCTATAATTGAAATTCAATCGAGTACGTTTTAAAAATGTTGTGAAAAACGCTTTTTCTTCATATTGCAATCTTTATTTTCGTCATCTTCTCATAGACACCAGAACAAATATTTAAAGGTAAGCATCTAAAAATAAGCCACATAATGATTGCAGTGTTTTCGAACCTCTTCGCTTAATTGTGTGAATAATTTGATCTATGCAGAGATTATGTGAACGTGTTTATGTTAAATTTACTTTTGTGGTGAAATTTTAATGGACACATCCTTTGTTATACAATAGACTGTGACTCGTAATTATATAAATTTAAATTGGATCGTAAGGATTGACTGTTGATGTTTGTATTGTTTTCACCTTCTTCTACACTCTATGAATATTTTTTAATACACAATGAAAATAACCGAATCAAGCATTGAGCATTGCTAAGGTAATACGGCGATGTATGTCAATAGTAAATCATATTAAAAAGAACATATTTTCAAATTCATAGACAAGTGCTTATTCTGATATTCTATTACTCTCAACTGATCATTCACAGTCACTACTTTGAAAGTAATCGGAATCCAAATGAATGTCAGAGATAGGTCGATTGTCTTAGTTTCGATATGATTTCTTTCGATAATATAATATCAAAATAGTTGTTTAATACTTCATTTTTCATAAAAAGAAACATCTGCAATCTATAAATACGTTACAAAACAAAATCATACGATATAAATTATATTCATTTTATTTTGAATATGTACGACTTTCATCACCAAAACAAAAAATACAAAAAAAGACACAAAGATAAAATCAATATAGAAATATTCAGTGAACAAATACCGCATAAAAATATATTAATATCATTTAAAAGAAAAATAGAAAATAAAAAAAAATGTTAGATAAAAACCATTCATTAGTCTAATTAATCTATACACGCAAAAGCATTCACACAAGAAAAAAAGTTGATTTGTTTTCAATGACGATATATAGAATAAGTACCATATCGGCTACCTGAAGATGATGTAAGATATCTTGAGGGTAAAATACTATCAAAATCATTATCATCATCATATTTTGAGTAGCTGTAAGTCGAATTAGTCAGAGGCAAATCATAACTATTTATATATTTACTATGAGCACGAGTTGCAACAGGCAATGTTGATTCATAATAACGCGTTCGATATTCTAAATCAGAAACAACATATTTAATTATAATTACTATAAATAACAATAACATACTAAACATAGTATATGCCGGTCGTGACTTTGCTAATTCATTTTCAGCTACATGTAAACGAACTCGGGTTTCTTCTAGTTCATTTTTCAATTTAGTACAAAGAGCGAGTGCCGCCTCGGTAATTAATTGTTGTGGTATAAGTTTATTACTTTTGCATGCAGCGATTGTTTCTTCACTAACACGTGAAAAGTCAATTTGACTGAGTAGTTCTTCTCGTTCATCATTCGTCAATTTGGTTGATTTTTCTATAGAATATTACATACTAGGTCTACTCTGAAAAACAAATGACAAACTAGTAAAAAACTAACCATTTTTAAGAATATCATCAAGTGCAAGTAAAAGACTATCATGTGAATTTCGCTGTTCTTTTGGTACACATGAAGCTAATTTGACAAAATTTTCACTTGTAAGTGTACCACGTTGACGAAGTTGTTCAACATATGAATCGACGAATAAAGATAGCTGAAAACAGAGTTTTATTTATAAAAAATTAATCCTTTTTTTTTCTTATGATGACAGATTACTTTTGATAATAATTTAGGATCTTTAATATGTTCTTCTTTATATTTGCTAACACGTTCTAATAATCTTGCCATAACGTCATCTGGAATATTCTCCATATGTTTGTCAAGATCATTTGAGTTAAGAATCGCCTGTGTAATATACGCTGATAATATTGATTCACATTCACATTTTAATTCAGCTGCTTTTTCATAAGCAGCATTGAGCCATACAAGTGGTAAATGATCAACTGTGTTTCCCAATGTTTTAATAACTTGGTCAAGTATTGCTCGTTTTTCATCGTCAGTCGTTATTGGCAAATCTTCTTTTTTTGTTATAGGTCTAAACGTGTTTTTATGTTCATTTTCATTGTCGGCTGACGATGAAGCAGAATTATAAAATTTATTTTTATCGAGTACATGCACTGTTACATAATGTTTAGCAAATGGAAGCATAGCAAGCTTGTTTTCTGTTGGACATAACTTAATCAATTGAATAATCCATTCAAGTGGTAAACGTACAATTAGTTCGAGATCAGATTTACTTAATTGTGAGCCAGCTACACGCGTTAATGACTCGAAAATCGATGCAAGACATCTATCGACAATATGAGCTTCTTTAGCCCATTGTTGATATTCACCGACGCATTGTTCGAGTAATACTAATGGAATACCCAAATCGTATTTGGCTCGTGCAACTAAAAGGATTCTATCAAAACGTTCATCCAGTAATGTAGCTAATGCATCACATCGAATAAAACATGCGGCTGAACGAAGTGGAATAATATTTTTATGATCAATTGCTATTGGGATTGAATAGAAATAATCCGCTAGTTGATTGAAAACTTGAGCACCACCTGGAAAATTATTGTCAAGTCGAACAACATATGGAACAGACTTCGATGATGATTCTACTGCTTTTTTGAAATAATCACTCTTGGTAAATAATGGAAACGTATGTAATTTAAATTCAGTTTTATCTACGATCACTGTAATGTCAGATAATTCGCCTGTACGGCGAAACTTCTCAAAATTCATAGTCTAATGTAAAAAAAAAGAATAGAACATCAAATGCTGATGATGGCGAGAATCAAAAAGAAAAAAAGAAAAAAAAATATTTGTTCAACCTTGCACAGGCTTCTTCAAAAAAAAAAGGAACAAGAAAAGAACGAGAAATCGTCACAAATGTGCATTATTGATGCAAGTATTGTTCACATTTAGTTAAAAAATCAAAAAACAAAAAGACTCACTTAAACTGAACTTTATCGATCTTGCAAATATGTATTCGTGTGACAATGCTTCTCTCCTTTTTATTTCAGTATATTACTACTACCTATCTATTGTTTGTTCTTCAGATACAACACTGTGAGTAAAATAGTTTTGTATTTTTTTTTGGGAACAAATCTCTGTTGAATTTAACGTTAGTAACGACTGCTCTGTGGAAAACAAAAACCACGGTCGTTGACATTATTGTAATTCTTCTTTTTTTTTGTGGTTACACGAGACAGAGGAAAAAAAGTGTTGTATGTAGAAATGATCGCGGTTTCAAATAGGCTTCGCATTACTTTTGAAGCTGATTGCGTGTTGACGAAAAAAAATTGGTAGGAATGTAAATGATAGGTATTGTTATTGTTGATGTCCTTGCTTATAATTGGCATTGCAGAGAAAAGATTTACATTTTATTGAATGAAATTGAATTTTAAATGTAAGAAAATAAAACAATCATAATTGAGTCTTTAATTTAAAAATCTTTCTATATTCTTCTGTTGTTGGTAAAACTTTTACTTTTCTTTGCTGTTTTCAACTTGCATATGAAAGCGTTTTGATTATTTAAAATCAAGAATTTTCTGTCGTATTTGAAAATGTGCCATAAAATAAATCATTTAAATGATATAGCTAGAAGCATTTAATATCAACTGAAGATGGATCTTTCATATTGATCTATGACTCCTAGTCTAAAGTCAATATTATTATTTTACTCTTGATACATATTATAATTACGATCGATTCTTATAAGATGGAAGACTGATAAAGAAAATATAAAATAAACAGGCAAAAACTTCTTTAATATCGAATTCGAAATAATAATCAGATCGAAATAGCCTTCCTTTCAATGCAAGTCAAATGATTCTATACAATTCAATATAGAAACAAATCAAGATTATTTATGTTTGCGCAGGAATAAAATATTTATTTTTATGAAGTAAAATTTTCATCGAAAATATACAATAATGATATTTTTTTTCTTTTTAGCATCTATTTACAAACGACTAGAAGCAAAAATCAATCATCAGTAAAACCATTCATATATCAAAATAAATTTGTGTTTTTTTGAGTTGGTCAAATATTTCATTAAGTTGAATTTGATTTTTCTTGCCAAGTAAAAATGAAAATGTTTTTTGATTTTCTTTGAGAAACGAACTTATTTTATTATTATGTGCGATAATGATTTCATCATTTTTATTTATTGGCATAAAACTGAAAATGAAAATGTTTTTATCACAAATAAACCTAAAAAACGAAATGAATCGAATTCAATATTAATTAAATTGACAAAATAGAATCTCACCAGAGACAATTTGAGTTTTGCTTTATATCACCTGCTACTTTGAAACGAGATGCTTCAGGCCACCAACCAACGAATAATTTTGTACGAAAAGGATTTTGTTGTTGACTTTTAACAAGTACACTCCACGGTATTACGTTTGGATATGTTCTATTTAAATTGAAAACAAACAAAAAAAGTCATTATAAAAATAAATAAAGCAAACTAAACATTCTCTACTCGTAATCATCTTCTTCAGCATCTGTTTCTTTATCAAACCATTCATCGATAAATGGCATAGAACGAAGTCGATTGAATTCCCAGTGAGTTGGTGCCATAATTAAATGTTTTTCAATTGCATTTAATAATCGTCGTTCATCATCTTCACCTGACTTAACAAAATCAAAAGCATCTTGAACAAGAAGTAAAGTACCAGATGGAATAGATGATTTGGCGTATAGACCATGCTTTCGTTTCTTTATTAATGAACCATTATAAAATTTAAAATGAAACGTATGAATATCAAAAAACGATTTCTGATCAAGAGATTCATTATTGAACATTTGTTTTAAATTATATTCTCCATGTTGATTTTCTTGTTTTAAACGTGGTAATGCTGATTGAATATCATGAAAATGTGTTTCATATTGCGAACGTAAAACAAAATTAGTTGTGAGATTTTTTAACTTATCGAAAAGTCCTTCAAGTGAAAATGTCGATTCTTGCAATTCAATGTCAGCACACATCAGACGATAGAGACATTTAAAAAAAAAATCATCGTACGTCTGATTGAAAAAGTGAGCAGTTACAACAACCATTGAATCGAGCTTTGCAGATGAATACAAATGTTCTCGTAAATAACATGCTGAACGATTTGAATGTAATCGAGCTAGATCACGTTGAAAAGCATTTTGAAATAAATTCAATTCACAATCATTATCTAAAAATATGAACTTAAAGTATTTTACAAAACGCAAAGATAAAATAGAATTTACCATTAGACATCACCGTTCCAGCCATAGTAACAATGCGATTAATAGCAAATGTATAATAATCAATCGCTAGTTGGGTGTCACCACGAATATATGCTTGATTGCCACGATTACGTAATTCGTCAAGTTTATCAAGTACGAAACATTTATATATTCGTTCAGATAAAATTAATTCGATATTTGGTGCATCACAACGAAGTGTAAGTTGACCATCGATAGTACATGTCATTGAAAATGGATTTAATAATTTTATCATACTATCAACAGGTAAAAGTTCACGAAGAATATCAGATAATGCTTTGATTGATTTGTATTCGTTTGTTGGTATAATATAAGACCAATTACTAATCACTAAAAAAAAACTTTTATGCTTCATTTTTCATTAAATACTTAAACGTTGAATAACGAGTATTGAGCTGAAAGTTCTTCTCCGTCAAATCTAACTTTTCATCGAGTTGACTTTTTTAAATTGGTTGCGTGGATTTCCTATTCAGAAGGAAAGTCTTCTAATGAATTAATCGTTTTTAAGTAGCAGCTATGTGCATCATACAGATTCTAATAATCTGTGCATATTTTTAAAACAGCTCAAAATTCTAGTTCATTACTTTTGAGACATTGTATTTTCATAGAATCTTTCACGATAATACAAAGATTCCATTTAGGTAACATTACAAAATACTATGTTGCAGAGTTCGATGTCAAACTTAGCACCAAAACAGATTTCAGTGAGAATATATTCTAGTGATAGATTCAAATGTTTTGTTGGTTCTCGTTCGAAATAAGAACATCTAAATCTACAACTTAATACAAAGCATCTAAAGCACTTTTCGATTTTTTTATTCTTACCTTATCATAGGAATAAATAGCAAATGAGCAAAACTTTTCATACTAGACTATACTTGTTCAGGGTGCTTTTCTCACAAAATCTGAAATTGTAATCCACAATTTAGTTTTCCTGGTGTGTGTCCAACGATATGACTGCATGAACATTAAAAATGTCATAAAAATAAAGTATCTCGACAGCAGAAAACTCTCAGTCAAAATCTTCTTCAGAGTACCTATAGATTTCGGTGTACCATATAATACATAAAGTTGCTACTCCAAAACGGCTAATGCATTTAAAGATAAAATTTAACAAACATATATATATATATATATCTATATGTAGGGAAAAAATAGAAACTATCAGCATTGTTAGCTATAAAATTTCTAAGATTTATTGTTCTATGTTATGCATAACGTTTTAAATGAATTGAAGCAAAGTCTTATTTTAGAAGAATACGTCTCCTAACTAATCCATATGTTCTTCATCATCTAGTTCTTTAAAACAAAAAATCAATAAGATAAATTCTATCATAAATTTTGTTAAGGCACTGGATCTAAAGAGAACTCATTTTTCTCTTATATGAAACATTCTTATAGTCAAGACAACAAAAGTCATTCGTATAGTTTTCGGTTATAATCAAAAAAAAATTACCGAGACGAATATGAAAATGAAGTTCATCACGAACAACCATATATATTTTCCCATCAACCGTATTTGTCGATTCAGGTTGTGTTACAATCCACAATGATAATTGTTGATTTTCATAAACATGATTCGTTTTCATTTCCATTAAAGAAATATTTTGTCGATGATTATCGTCACAATGATCTTCATTCGTAAAATCTATTGTTGATGAGCAAAGAAGAACTGGACGATTTACGTTGTGTTTTTCATGATAATCTTTTTCAAAGAAAGTCAATTTCTTTTTATTACTGATTAAACATGAAATTCCAGCATGAAATGCTTCATGATGTTTCAGAACAAACACAGACGTAAATTCTAATGGTAAATTGATATGTGTGCTAGACAAAAAAATGTATCGTTATAGACAAAATTAGAAAAACCTTTTTTCTGAAGAATAAAAATATAACTTACTGAGCTTTCAGAATCGAATGATATTCTTCAATTGACATTTCACGGTGACATCGAGGGCATTTCATGATAATAATTTTTTTATCTTTATCGATGTTTTACAGTTGAACACTCTTATCTTGTAAATGATCACTAGGTCACAGAAAGAAGAGTTAAAATGAAATGAAATGATGTATGTTTAAATCGAAGACGATAGATCAAAACCGTTAAACAATGATGAATCATAGAACTATGATATAGAGAGGATAGTTCGTTAAGGAAAAATCGTTGTCGACACAATTTTTGTTTTTGTATTCATGCCACGTTGAATCAATATAAGAAAAGAAATTGAAATAACACATTAATGATTGTCGGGTTTGATTGTTAATAAGAAATATTGTTTCTGTTTATACAAAATCGTTAGAAAGTCGTTAGGTATATCATCCTATAGCACACATTTTTTTAAAATCAGAATAGGAAAGATACTCTATTATTTATGTTTTTATTCTGATCGGGTTTTCATTACATGAGCAAATGATACCATAGCGGTTAACATTGATGAGTTTGAGTTTGATCAATTATTGTCTGACTGTGTTCTTGAAATATATGTTAATCTGTTAAGAAAAAGATATCAAGTTGAACGAGTTACTAATTTGACAAGAGATACAATTGGAGAATAAAATAAAATAAAATAAAACAAAGCAATAGATAATTTATTAAGAATGGATTTAAAAATTGTGAGAAAGATATTATTTTTAATAAAAATGATATCTTATTATTGATCCAAAATCTATTCTATATTTTTATAAGAAAAGGTGATGAAAGAAAAAATAGTTAATAGAAGAAGTAATATTCCCAAACATGAAATTCATTGTTAGAGACAACAAACTGATTGGCATAAACTTAGAAATAATCCCAAAATTTATTTTTAGCTATGCTGATTGATCAATGATAACTGCTAATAGATACATTTATTTTTTTCTTAAATTGTTCTACGTGAATATTAAAATCTATGGCAACATTTCACAATGTAAAACCAACTTTGTGAAGAGTTACTATATATGATTGCACAGATGTAGTGTGGTCATTTAGTTGATCGCACTGTACGAGTGTACTGCTATTGAGAGAAGACCTATTCTCAGATGATGGTTGATTAAAAGGTGGTGCTATAAGTTGACAAGGTGGAGTTTCTTCTCTTAAATGAATGATATATAAGTCATTAGTTGGACTTCATCGGTCGATTGCACGTAAATAAGTTCCTGGTATCAATAAGATTTCATTTTCATCTTTATAAAAGGAATGTGATTTAATTGCTTTTCCATTGATACATTCAATCATAAATTTATTCTTTTTCATTTATTCAACGATGTATCTTATTACTATCTTTTACCTTAACTTTCGAGTTTACAAAGTTTAAAAATGTATCATGCATTTGACATATTCAAGATACTATCCTAATGAAAACATTTCTATTTTATAAACTATTGATCATGCTATTTTCAATACTAGACTAAAACCTATGCACGCTACAATTCGAACTATTTTTATTTCTACATAAACAAGTACTGTTTAGATATGTCGTCAAAAATTAGCAGCACCCAGGCCCATCATTCAGATCGTCTGAAAGATGGCATTAAACTGTCTAAAACGGTTAAGAAATGGCGCAACTAACGCTCTAAACGGTGAAAAACGACCGCCGTTTTTAGCGGGAACGTTATAACGGTGTCGTTCAAGGCCGTTTCCGACGAAAAGGGACAAGTCATAAAAGCACCTTCTTTTCGCTCATTCTGACGTGATCACGCCATTTTTTACCGTTTTACATCAGAGTTATTTTGGTCATTATACTTTTTAAATCTTTTCATTTAATAATATTATTATATATTTATTTTCAAAAGAAAAGTCTACACACAAAATAACATGAAATAAAACAAAAAACCATCGGAAAAAAATTAAAAACACTAATATAATCTAAAAATTAAAAAAAAAATGAAATAACCTAGAAATTAAAATATAATAAATAAAATAAATAAAATATACAATAAAATACAGCAAAAATTCAACAAATAAAATAATCTTAAATCTAAAATTCAATAAATACAATAATCTTAAATATAAAATTCAACAAATACAATAATCTTAAATATAAAAGAAAAGAAAAGAAAATGAATACAATAGATTGAACGACAGTGTCTAAGTATCCCATGTTGCAAATACCGGATCATTTTTTGCGGTAAACCACGGTATTTATCCTTCCTACGGCAATGGGAACCGGTAACCGGACCGGTAAAACCGCGGTTAACCGCCGATTTTCATGCGGTTTTTATTACATTGAATGTATTTTACCCATATTTCTATCTTCAAATAAAACATGCAAAACGGTAAAAAATGTTCACCTTAGAAGGTAGTCGTTTCCGACAACACGGAAACCGTCACCTAAATTGCCACCGTTTTCCGCTGTTTTTAGTCGTTTAGGGAGCATTTTATTCGACATGGGCAGTGTACCACTCGTTTGAATAACGTAACTCTCTTCTGTAGATATGACAATGAATTAACAACAACAATCGGAATTACTGATGCAAGAAAAAAGCAATCTGTTTTATTCTAAGATTGACAGGCATGCATCAACAATTTGAAACAATTAGCTGAAATCAGTTTCGAAACTTTTAAGCAACTCGTACAAATCCATTTACAGTTAGTCGATAAGTACCATCGCCCACTTGGATTGTGTCACCAACTTTCAAACTTTGTAGTGTTTCAATATCCATGTTCAGTGTATGCAACGACCCACCAGTTTTATAGGCAATATCTAACAATTTTGGATTTACAAAACTATTTGCACCCAGTTTGCAGACAAGGACTTTGATTGGTTTGGTCACTTGATTTAGAAGAATCATATCTCTAGGTGTTGCTCCGTTATCGGCAATGTGAATGATATTTTTACATGTAGGGCAAGTTGATAGCGTATAAATAATTGCTTCAATATCATTCTCCGGAATATCACCACCACCTCCATTTCTCTTAGCTGTATTTAAAATCTCCTTCACCTTCGTTATTCCTTCGTTTGTGTATACACTATATATACCCCCTAAATTGAAACGTACGGATAGATAGAAAATTAGCTTATCTATTTTTAAAGCTGCTTTACCTGTAGATCCAATGATTTTATTTTCATTTAACGTGTCATCACCATCATTGAAGAAGACAAAATATTTCACGAATTTACCTTGTTGGCTCAGTGCAACCCATTGGTCAATGTGAGCATAGCAACTAGACATGCTTCCTGTTACATCAATAACAGCTCCAATATCGGTCCAATTGTGACGATTTAAAACATCTATGACAGTTTGTTCATCAGTTGTGGGAGTAGCGGCTATTTAAAAAAAAATTAAAATAAACGAATATTTGTTATTATACTAACTTTTGTAATGATGGACAGAGATAAATTAAAAAAGGACATGCTTTTGAAAATCTGTCCTTTTTTAAATCTACACAACAAACAGAGAACGAACGAACTTCAATACAATTAAATTTAACAAACAATATGCAATGGATAGAGAGAAATTAAAAGAGTTGAATGGGTATGTTCTGGTTACATGTTCTATCAAAAAGATACTATTAAGTGTCTGTTCACTGAGCATCAAATCAGACTGTTGCGTTTTGAGTTAAAAAGAAGACTTGTATTACTCTTAAAATTAACTCACTTGAAGTTTGAATTGCTCTTGTAGTGGTAACAGTTGTCGCAGTTTCGTCATCTTAAATCAGAAATATTTTTGTGTTTAAAATACATCTAGATAAACAATATTTACGTACAAGTTCCCGAACATCCGATACCCACATGCATGTCAGTTGTGCAATGATGTTGAAATAGTGGTGTGTGCGTACAATCATTGAGACTCGTTGCATCACTTGTACAATTGAAATTATCCAAAACAAAATGGCATGGAACTATCAAAGGGTCGTTGTTGTATTCGAAGTAACATTTATCATGAAGATCGTTTGGTGATGGTTCCCAGTAGTAATTGTTTGAAAACATTTGTAAGTTTTTCTTCTGAGAACGGCAAGCTGCTTGTGCTGCATTTCGATCGAAACCATGATGGCAAACCATTCCTTCAACACTAAAGCGTTGTTTCAATGTCGGTGAATATTGTGATGTTAATTCCATTTCAACTTTTACTCGAACTGGAGCCTGTTTAGTAACTTGAATGTTAATAATTTTTCTTTGATGCGTAAGAAGACCATGAATATTATTGCATGTTTGATCAATGGTTTTTAGCATTTCAGCCAGACCCGAATTATCTTGAACGCCATCGATGCTAGTGGCACAGAGAAGAACCGCTAGTGTAAGCAGAAGAGTAGACGAATGCATTGTTGAGATAGAATGAGTATAGTAAAGAATAGTCAGTTTCATTCGCTTCTTATATGTACGCAGTTTTTCGTTTTATGACTCTCTCAACATAGGCTAGAAACAAAGCATGATATGACGACATCAAGATGAATGTGTTTGAAAACTTTTATCATAAATCTTACGTATAGAGATATTTAATAATAAATAGCACTTGAGAAAAATCAAGTTGACGAAGAAAGAGGAAAGAACTCGTACGTAAATAACAAATGGGTTTTAAGAATAAAATGCGGCGTTATCTGAATCATAAAGCAATTCAAGTCGGCGAAAACAATGTAAGCGAACGTAGAGTTACATTGATTTCAATAGATAGCTGTTTTCTTTATTACTTTGTGGGACGCTACTCAAGTAACACCTATGAAAAACAATTGATGGTCATCTAACACACTTGAAGTTATTTCTAAGCTCAACAATTTCATTCAAGATTCAAAACTATAATCATATTGAAGTCGGTTTTTGAAAAGTTTTATTGAACAATATGGTGGCTAATCTTGAGAATTGTCATTCAAAACTTAAAAAATCTTAGCCTATTATTGTATAGGTAGGTTCAATAGAAAGCAACATAATCATTGAATCGCTAACACTAACTCGATATCAGTTTCTTTTTAGAATTCTAATTCGTAATCTCACTCAATGTTATCCTTTTATCACCCTGGCTTGTTGCTTTATCTATTTGATTCGATAGAAACGATACCTTTAATATTGTTTGCAAGATTAAACACACAGTCAATGATCATGAGAAGTTCTGCTAAGGATTCGTACTGTCATACTTGTAAATACTACAAAATCCTAGTCGATTACAATAAACATGATTACAACAAATCACATATCGTACAGAGATAACTCATTTATCTATAGAGAGAAACATGAAAGCACAAATGAACCTTTTTATCATTAATTAAGGAACATAAAGCTTAGATGAGATCTATATGAATAGATATAGCTCATGAATTTACTTCTATTTTGTGCATATAGAATACAAAAATAGTAGCATGGTAATCTTTTGCACGTAAGGCTCTCAGAAACCCATCATATCGATTGAACTTGCACATAATACGTGCAGTGAGTCGATTTTAAGCTGTTCCAATGCATATCTCAGAAGTATTCCAGAAGCAGTAGAGTTAACATTAAGTCTTTGCAAAATAGTGATCTTTCGTGGCAACGGTTTAGGTTTGAAATCAACTTGAACCATGTCAAACCAACACGTAACACAAATTACTGTATGTTTAACAATCGTAAGATCAAACTACACTAAAATCTTATGAGTTTATGATTTCAACTGTATTATTCGTGGATTCTTCATCATTTTTCTAATTTCTTCATTTTTGTGACTTTTTTTTCTTTCAAAAGTACGTCAGAAGGATTGTTGTCATCATAAAAAATTCAGTTTCGCAGAATGAATGATTTATGATAAAAGTTTTCAAACACATTCATCTTGATATCGTCATATCATGCTTTGTTTCTAGCCTATGTTGAGAGAGTCATAAAACGAAAAACTGCGTACATATAAGAAGCGAACGAAACTGACTATTCTTTACTATACTCATTGTATCTCAACAATGCATTCGTCTACTCTTCTGCTTACACTAGCGGTTCTTCTCTGTGCCACTAGCATCGATGGCGTTCAAGATAATTCGGGTCTGGCTGAAATGCTAAAAACCATTGATCAAACATGCAATAATATTCATGGTCTTCTTACGCATCAAAGAAAAATTATTAACATTCAAGTTACTAAACAGGCTCCAGTTCGAGTAAAAGTTGAAATGGAATTAACATCACAATATTCACCGACATTGAAACAACGCTTTAGTGTTGAAGGAATGGTTTGCCATCATGGTTTCGATCGAAATGCAGCACAAGCAGCTTGCCGTTCTCAGAAGAAAAACTTACAAATGTTTTCAAACAATTACTACTGGGAACCATCACCAAACGATCTTCATGATAAATGTTACTTCGAATACAACAACGACCCTTTGATAGTTCCATGCCATTTTGTTTTGGATAATTTCAATTGTACAAGTGATGCAACGAGCCTCAATGATTGTACGCACACACCACTATTTCAACATCATTGTACAACTGACATGCATGTCGGTATTGGATGTTCATAACCTTGTTTGACCTTTCACTGGTTTAGGTGAAAATGAACTATTCCACCATATCCATTCATTTTGTATGCTTTTATTCGTTTTAATAAAGAATAATGATAAGTTTCCCTTCTCCTAGAAGACAATTGTTTGACTGTACCCCGTAGATTGTAGATAACACAAACTACTGAACAGTTTTGATGATAGATTGTCGGAAATACAGAGCATACCATCCTTCGGTTGATCCAGAAAGGTGTGAATGCCGTTATTGATAAGTGATATACACGTACTCACGCACCCTCCTATTGTTACCCTGATTGGTAACTGTAGTAGGAACTGTTCACTGCTTTAAATACCAAGACACTTCATATTTAGAAGAAGCCCAATCTACAGAGTTCTATAATGATTGAAGCACAGCTATTTCTTATGTGACATTTCCTGTTGCTCAGGAAGCGTATCCAATAACTTTTGGTGTCCCATCCACGTTATTAGGACTTAGGCAAACAGGGACTGTAAACATAAACACTTCGATATAAAATTTCATTGCTTGGTTCTCTAGTTTTCCAAAACTTTACATGAAATTGCACTAAAGTAAAAGAAACTAAAAACATTCCATTACTTTTCAAAAACAAATTAATTATATTTAAAACATCAATTAGAATTCTTTGAATGCATTGTTTCATATTGTGAAATTTTACGTTTTTTCTTGTACTCTATAATCTTTATCTATTTTTTGAAACTAGTTGAATACAATCAAGCTCCGATAAGATATATAGGTATCAGAATAATACTTTTGAAAATTCATTTCATGCAAAAGATGAATTTTATTGATAACATATATAATTATAATCATAGGTCCATATATATATATATATATAAAACTAATCAAATAGTAATACTCATTTCCACAAAAAAAAGAAATATATCTGCCATCTATCATTCTTTCCATGCATTCCGTGTATAATAAAATTCTTTATGCACTGTTATTCAATCATGTTCGCCAGTGCTTTTTAGAACAATTAATTTAAAGTATTATACAACTCTGAATGTTTTTGTATTTCTAACAATAAATATTTGTCGAGTTATAAATGTAGCTGCACTCTTCGTTATTGTTACAAGAAAAATAAGTTCGATGCTTTTTCATTGCGTACTAAAAATTGATGTTTCTATTGTTACCGAATGACACCATTCAGTGGCAACTATTTTTAGATGTAATTCATAATGATAATTAGCAGCGCAACCGTAGAGAGTGATTAGAATCATTAAGTAAACGCGTTAGATAACTGTATGCGTGGAAACGAATGCATACAAGATAACGAAAGTAATTTTGAAATGGGAAGTAAATGATAAACAGTATATGGCTATATATTTACGAGAGGAGAGCACCACAGAGATTAATCCCTCTCCTTGATGAGAAAAATCTCACACATATGCAATGCTAAACAGTGACCCAGGTCGATCAAAACGGACCACCGTAAACCGGCGTAACATTACCGTAAACGGTCGTTTTTACATCGTATTCCGTCATAAAACGGCCGTTTTAAGCCGTTTTAACAGGGGCAGTGTTACGACCATACACGGACACCGTATATCAGCCGTAAAACCTCGTAAAGCCGGCGTAATATTATCGTATTCTATAGAACATACGGCCGTAATACTGCCCCTGTTATACGAGAAAATACGGCACGTCAAACGGGCCGTATTTGTATCGTATACGACCGTTTACTGATCGTTTTCTTCGACCGGGGGATATGCAGTCAATTAAGTCGATGCATTGATACTATTTATAAAAGTCATAAATCTATAATTGTTCTTGCAATACTTTGTTCACAACATTCGAGGATGATATTTCAGTCAATGTTTTGACAATTTCAAAGATTCTTCAACAAATCTCAAAATACATGAGTTATTGGGAAAATATCGAGTTTATAAGTTACTTATCATGTTTAACAATCAAGCGCAGTAAATTTACAGAAAGAAGAAAAAAATGTTACAGAAAAAAAAATATATATATATATATATAAACACTTGACTCATTTTCCCAAGTTATCTTGTTTAGCAATATACGTGTCGTAAAAGTAGACAAACGCTTTGTAATCATCTTCCATTTTCAAAGTGTCCCATTCTTCATCGAATTTATTTACAAAACTACCGTCATCTAAATTCATCGCTTTTGTTATCTGATAATTTAATTTCATTCGCCTGATATCATTGAATTTAGCTAAATTACTAGCGATAGTTTCGATGAAACTACGTGTAGCATCCATCAAAGTATTGATCAAAAATCCTTGATTTAATATCCAGCCCATATAACCGCCCCAAGTAGATGATGATATTGTTGTATTATAACAGCCTGTACCAATCGAAAGAAGATGATAGTTGATTCGCTTTTTCCATTGCATTCTTATTGCCCATAGTGCAGCTAATTCTGGATCATTGGCAAACACACCACCATCAATATATAATTCCGATGTTTTATTTTTGACGAAATGCCCATGCTTTTTCGTTCCACTCCATACTTCTTGTGGAGGAAAATAGGTTGGAGCAGCCATTGTAGCTTTTAACACATCGGCTACACGGTAGCCCCAATGACTAGCATAACTGGTATTAAATATGGTCATGTTGTCTGCTGTAGTATTGTACGCCGTAATCAATAGTACTTTTTCACGTTTAACTCGATGAAAATTAAACATACCTTCAATGTCATTCGAATCCTCCATGAAGTTCATTTCATCAACAAATTCTAAGTAATTGCTATGATATATCATCGCTGCTGCTGATTTCACATCATCAATTATATTGTCAGGATTCAAGATATTACGTATATCAAGTAAAGTAGCAGTTTCAGCTGACAAACGTGTACCATCTTTAAGTTGAATTCCATTGATAATTTCATCAATCTTATGATGTATACGAGATGGATCATATTTGGAATAGAATAAAGGCCCTGTATAGTTGCGCTTGAAATAGTACGAGGAATTTGCATAGATATCCATCATATCTAAGATATTGTAGTTAACTGCCAAACAAAAAGCAATGAGTCCACCAGTACTAGTACCAATTAAGTAATCAAACTGATCTGTAAAGCGAGACTGAGCTGCTTTAAATGATTCGTGGTGAACGGAATCTTTAGGATTGAATTTTTCATGAATAGAAAGAAATTTTTCTGATATAAGTTGGCTAAGAATTTTAATAGGCATGTAACCACGTACACCTAGAAATGAAATGAGACAAATAAAGCAAGAACTGATTTGGGAAGAAGAATTTTTTTTAATCTTACCTCCGCCATCCAAACTGAGTACATTTATATTTCGTTGTAATGACTGTAAATGGTATTGGGCAATCAATGAATTTATTTGATTTAATTCTGTTTCATCTGGCATTGTTGACGATTGATTTTCCAGTTTTTTTAACTTTTCCATAACAATAAACAAATCATAATCATTTTGAATTTTCTTTTCCGTATGTATCTGTTCATATTTGCTCTGTCTTACTCTCTGTCGAGCTTCAGTTCCATGCTTTTCAGCTTCTTCAACTAGTATCCATTTGAAACAGTTGTCATTGATTTCTGCAGTTATCGACTGTGCCAGATGCGAATGTTCGTGATGATCACGTGCAATAGATTGTAAGTTGTTATAACCAAGTTTAGCACAAATAGGACATAAATCAAATATTGCACAATATGTACATTGTGCCCAAGCCACGAAATCGATTGTAATACCACAATTGTCGCATCGTCGATGTGTCGAAATTTTACTGGATGAAACCAAAAATCGGGAAGACATTGTGAAAATGCTTTTATCAGCGTTATTGATGAGCTTAATCAGCTAGTTTTGCTTCACCTTTTTTCAAATTTGATATTAATGTAAGAAATATTGTATACCGAAAATGAAATGCCTAGTCTAAATTCGAATCAAGCTGCTACTCATCGATATATATTCTAAATAGAGTGACATAAATATCAAGTGATGATGAGAAGAAGTCATGTGTTCCCAAACTATCTTTTTTGCAACGCAATATTCAAAAATAAACAACAAGAAAAGAGAAAAAAGAAAGTCCAGGAGCAAACAAGTAAATACGTAAATCAAAGGTTAACAACAAGGACAAAGCAATAGTTGAGTACTTCTTAACAGTATTTAGCATATCTTCAAAGCAAGTCATCATCTTGATGGATAAAGAAGCGCGAGGAAAGTGATCATATATGAGATAGTGAGAAGTAATAAAAAAAAATGTCAGCAGTTATGTTATCTTGTCCATACGGTGCATAGATAGTCATCGTCAATTAAAGGAAAGAAGATGGTAAGACGTCAAAGGTATGCGAAGTTGGTTTTCATTGTCATCATATTGCCATTTCGAGTGCTATTAACTATCATGTGATTCATGACACAGCAAATAGACATGTTTGAAATATGTTTTTGTCACGAGATATTAGGTAAGGTGTGAAGGTAGTATTCGATAAGAAAAATAATAATAAAGCAGCATGGTTAGTGATGAATAAATACGGGTGATGTAGACACAATTGGTCATGATGAAAAACAATTCTGCTATTAGAATTTGTGTTTTTGTTCATCTTGTTTTATCAGAAATTGAGAAGAATGTCATGTTGTATGAGACGCACTTATGAAAATGTTATAACTCAATAGATTTGAGCTATTTTACATTTCGGTTCTATTAGTTTCCTATCTAGTAAAGTATTGTAAGAGACAAAAACTAATTTCTTGATACTGCAAGCAAGCCACCAGTGGAGCAATACCAACAATATGGAGCTATTAACACATTTTCTTCCTATATTCCAGCACTGTCTCTTAGCATTGGAAATAAATATAACATTATACCATTTTATCTGAATTAGAAATGATTTCGATATCTAGATAGTATGAGATCTTTTATTATTATTACGGTGAAGCAGGTTACATATCTATATTTATCTGCAGAATTCCATTTCGTCATCTATAATCTCAAATTCTTTTTTTCTTTCTATACAGCTATTGAAGTTATCTGCATCACCGAAGGAATAAATATGTTGAGAGTTTGGGTGTGAATCATGAGAGAACCGTTTGATCTACGCCAATAATTTATGATAAGCGTGAAAACATAAATCAACCTATCACATTTATTGCTGAAGTTACGATTTGTATAATATGTTTTTCGATGTTTACATCCGATGCATTGAAATATATATGTTTAGATTGTTTTTGTTATGCTACCTATATCACCGAGATCTTTTTCGACATGTAAAACAATTTCAGATACTCTCACTATTAGTTAGAAGACTAGAAAGATGTCAACATCCAGATCATTTGTTTGCAGACATTCGTAAGTTTTGAACAAATGCAAAGCAAACATTCGAATCATATATTTTCAAGGTATCAACAATGAATCGATGGACGCAAATAAACATAAACCATTCAAGATAAGCTTCGAGCAAAATCGAGATAAAATGAAGAATGAAGTTACGAATTAATTAAATAAAGAGGGAATTAAAAGAATAGAAATTTGTGTTTACTCAACTCACGCACATTTAATATAATTTACTGATAGAAGTATCTCACCGTATGGTCATGATGTCAAGATCTATAATGAACTCTAAGATTGGTGAAATCGTTGGTAATTTCATTCGAAAAATACAGCCGGGGAGTTTGTTTTAGAGAACATATAAATGTTTCCATACTAGCCTATTTACTATTGAGCTTGTACGTTCGAAGGTATCGAAATTTATTTATTTTTGAAAATGTAGTTATTTCTTGAAACTTTAATAAGATTTGTTACTTATAATGAATTTTCTACACAGCTTTTCAATGAAACCCACATCGTTCACAACAAAATTTTGGAATACTGTCATAATCTAATACGCTATTTACTGTAGACTGATGTATAGAATTATGTCTTTGCCATCTTCTATGCCATCTGAAAGCTCGATATATTCTTGCCATTGCTGTACGAAGACTAATGAAACGTAGTGCTTGCCATATTAGGAAGAACTAGTGTTGCTATTATAATTATCTAACTAGATATTTTTCTACGAAGTATTTCTCTTCTATCTTCACCTGAATATGTTTACAACCTTGAAGATAAACCCGTATCGTCGATCGTCACTATCACAGTCACCAATTATATTGATAGCCTATTAACATTCATATTTTCTCACATTGAAAATTTTCCTAATAATTCAAGTGGAAAAAATGATCAAGCTAATTATGAATATCTTTTATTAGTAAAATATTTCGATTGTATTGTACAATATCAAGAAAGTAACATAATTGCTTCCCTGATAGTTTCTTCTGTTATGCCATTTAATGGCATTGTCATTACAAAATGATCTTGCATTCGTTTTGGATCCAATTTAAATAGATCCATGTCATCAATGGCAATCCATTTTGTTATAAAAATATCTTCATGAATGGTTTTATTATCGAAATCTTTCAGCCAATGATAAATTTCATCTACTCTTGTTTTACCTCGACTACTAGTCCATCCTAATAGGCGATCGATTCCAATTTTTTTAAATGCTGATTCGACCTTGGTTCTTGATTTTGGGAAAAATCTAAATTGATCATTAAATGCGCTAAACTAATATCCAGTCAAAGATTACTATGGGAATTACCTCCAAGAAGAAGACAAAACGATGCGTGCGGATGTGGCGTCCAATATTTTCTTTAAATTTTCTAGACATTTTTGATCGATTTCTTTCCTAAAACATAATACTCCGTCAATATCCAAGAATATAATTTTTGTTTCCATCGGTATCTAAAAATATTTAGTTGAAGTCAAAATTGGATGTTATAATAGATAAAAAGATATTTTATTGAAATAAAGAAAGCATGATCTTCTATAGAGATTGTTTGACAGTTGTTCAAATATTAAATATCTCACTAGATTATAATTGATACTGATATTTAAACAAACATCGTCGATATGCGTGCTCGATTAGTAACTATATATTCGATTAGAGAAAGCTAATTGTGCTAAAAGTCAATGACTTTAGAATCATGAGTTTTTAAGCACAACTCGAAAATTGTGTTGAACAATGTAACTACTCGATAAAACAGATCGCATGAAAGCTATAGCTGATAGATCAGGATTATTTACTAGTGTAATGTGCCGTGCATTATCCAGCAACGACTCTCATGTGTCACTTTTACTTTAAATGATTATTACTCTTTTAACCAATGAAATCGTCTATTTATGTGCTGACTAGATCTACTTCATAATTTTTGTTAAAAGCGAGAAAATAAAATAAAACACAGAAGTTCGTAAGTTCTCTTGGTACTAATAGCTTTTTAGCTGAGAAATATGTGAAGTTGGAAGATATCTTACTTCGGAGTCAATAGTTATGATACTCCTCATTTTCATCGTCTATCGGTCCAATCATATGAAAGTATTCTGTCATTTTTTGACTAGACACTTTGACCTCATGAAAAAAGCATAGCTTTTTTTTAACTCGTTCTGTCCTTTACTTTTACTTTTTCATTTCTGTTTCATTTCTCTCTCTCTCTCTCTCTCGGGTATAAGATCGTGTTATGGATGAAAGAGACAGTTGTAGCGATCTAATACTATAATGAACATTCATACAGAGAATAGGAGAACCGCTACTATTCCAGTTTGTCAATGTTCATTATCAGTTTACTGTAATACTATTAAAAAAAGAAAAATTCTTCATTTTAGTTTTCGCCAAAGAAATTAAGCATAACTTGGCTGGAATCTGAGCCAGCGCCTATCCTTTGTGCTGATTAAATTCTCTTGAAAAAGCCACGAATAAAATATTTTTCTCAATTTTTCTGAATTAAAAATGTCTCACAAAGTTGACCCTGAAGCAAAAAATGTAGCAAATGGGATTCCCTAAGCGGATGAAAAAGTATAGTCAGCTCCTATCAAAAAGTCTAGTAAAATGGTAGAAACTTTGAAGTGGAAAGCCGGCGATAAAAAATGAGGATCAGGCTATTATTTAGTTGTGACTGGAGCTGACCAGCAGTGCCAATCGTGTGATGTTAATATATAATGGAAGTTGAAATGATTAAACGTGTTTTGTTTCCATGTTGATACAAGACCCAATTTTAAAATCATACAACAACGAAAGACATGCGCTTCTTGACTAAGTTTTAACACGAGCATATTAACGATGAAATTAATGTGAAAGATTTTTCATCTTGTTAAAGTAGACAACACCATGACGTTGTTGAAGAATAAACGTTTATTATAGTTGATGATCGTAAGTAAAAGGACATTGTGTGGCGAAATGAATTGTCAAAGAGGTGACTTATTATTGACATGAAATACCCCGATATGCGTGCATGAGTAACTGAAGAAAAGGAGTCTTTGCAGTAAAGAAAAAAGCGACAGGCTGCTAACGGATGATGCGGCGTGAGTCATCAAGTGTCAACAATAGCGAGCAGCAAACGTTCGTTATTTGTAATGTAATTCGTAGTGATAAAAATGATGCATAAATTTCGTAAAGTCAATTCTTCAGGACAAATATGCTCTATACTTCTCGTATGCCTTCGATAATTGATATTTAAGTCAAACTGCCATGTAAAACAAAGAAAAACAGGTTTTATAAAAATCGCAAAAAAAGACGACTTTCAATCGATTACAGTTAAATATAGTTTAAATTCAATATAATAGAAAAAAAGCAAGGATATCAAAATTTCAACAATTATTCTGATTATTTTTGATTGAAACACATTTATACTAGGCAACTTATAATCAGAAGATTTGAAGAAATTTAGACATATTTGATTATTATTTTTTTTTTCTAAAGTTGATTAAACCTGTGCGATCTCAATCGAATTTTTATACCACGTTTTTTTGCATATGGTCTCGTTTCAATTAGATTATTTATTCTCCATTATTTAGGTCAATAAAAAACAATTTCGAAAAATTATACATAATGATGAATTATTTCGAAGTTACAAATTTGCTCAGTAGCAGATCATTATTGGATCAAATCTGACAATTAGTTTCATATTTATCGGTCCTTGAACTGATTGATTTCTTTCTGACACCAACTGAAACATCTAGTACGACTCACTGTATTTCAACTGTTTAATTCAGCCACAATGCTCACGTGTTATCTCTTCAATCAGTTTATTCATTTGCAAACTCCTATCTACATTTTGATGATCTAAATTATCACTGTTCAATACATGTTTCTCTACTATTTTCATTTGCGAACTTAACTGTAGTCTATGATGGAATTTTATAAGAAAAAAAACTTGCCCAAAAGTAAAAAAGAAAAGATCTGTTTAATTTCAATTTGTTTTCAATAGAAAAAAATGCATACAAGAGAAATAAAGTAATCAATATTAATCTTCCACGAGAACGATATCACTTGGCTGTGTATTTTGTTCATGCTCATGAACTTCTTCATCTGGCCCAAACTAAAGACGTAAACATAGAGAATTACAATAGAGTTAAATTCCGAATAAACTTACAAAATATTCCACAAGAGAAGGCTTATCTTTTTCTGTATAAATAAGAAATTGTGCACATAGAATTCCAGCAGCATCAATACGTAATGAAAGTTTACTTGCAATCGACAATGCTCGAAGAATATATTGAAAAAATTGAGTTTTATATCTAAAGAATAAATGTATAACAATGAAAAACAAGAAAACAAATAATACCGATTGTGTACTGGTTCAGTACATAAAAATGTATCCATAACAGGAGAATCTTGAGTTATATCAACTGATGTGCTACCTCCGCATCCATTAGCAATAAGACGAAAATGCGGAACATCTTGAGTGATAAATAATTCAATACCTTTAAAAGAGTAAAGTTAGTAAAGAGGAGAAAAAAAATAAATCCAGTATTTACAATCAGCTTTGAGATCAATTTCGCTAAGTGCTTCTTTAAATCCACTAGCCTAAAATGACAACCGAATCTAAACAATTGGTCTCCTAAGTAACTATCAACCTTGAAAACGACTTTAGAAACAATATTTTCAGTTTGAAAATCAAAATCAATTGTATCTGTATCGTCTAATACTTTGATTAAACATTCAGTAATTACACCGTCTTCTTCTAAACTGTAAAATAAATAGAGAGAAAAAGAAAAGAATTTTAATGCTCTATCGTTGACGAAATAAATCAATGAATAGATAATGATAGCTTACTAAAGCTGTAATGGATGCGTTTGATTTTCACGATAATGAATTTGTACAGCAACATTTGTTGGTAATGGTTCATGTGTAACAGGATCAAGTGGAACACCAAAAATATTTAAACAATTCTAAAGCAATGAAATATATAAACGAATATACATAAGAATAAGAAACGTCAACTCTTACAAGAACTGTTTCAAGATGAAATCGAAATCGTACTTGTCGCACCAATTCATACGAATCAAAAACACGTGTATCAATAAAAGCGTTGCCTTGTACGCATTGTTTGTCTTCGACAATAATTTTGACGCCAGTTGTCAACGCACAAAATATAGCATCCTAAACAAAAGTACTCTTTTGATTAATACGTATATTCGAATTACAATGAATCCATAGTAAGAAATCTCGTTATTAAACTTGATCATAAACGGGGGAAAATATGTCAAACCATATTTGAATTTTCTTTGAAAATGAACTAGATTTTATTTAATGTTCATTCATCTCGATCATTAAATCTAATAATATGAATATATAATAATAATTAATATTACATCAGCAAAATCTATTGTTTTGAGAATACTAGCAAGTGTTCGACTTGATTTTAGTTTTGCAACAAATGCAACATCAGCACTGTCGGTTTGTTCTTGTTCATTGACATTATTCTCTTCTTCATCATCTGTATCCTCTTGATGTGTATCAAATAAGGACATCAGTTCTAAAATAAATCTCTTTTAAACTAAATCAATATTTAGCAATACAAAAATTATCGATTTATTGATTAAAACAGAATAATATACAAATGATAAAGAAAGAGAAGTTCATTAGTTTTTCTACACGATGTTGTTCAATCAACGAGCATATTGAATCTTGAAAAGTATTTTAGACGTGACCCATAAAATAATTATATACGCATGAGAAAATTCATTAACATCCTTTAACAAAGTAAGGCTTACTTAATTTTATATAGAGTCATCTTATCTTACGAAAATTTCTCTCGAATTAAATTAAATTATATCAATGTTGAATCCGTAGATGATAAGCATATACTGTAAATAATGAATGATATAATATACTTTTTTTTGTATATATGCTATGGCAAAGAAAAGAATAAACTTCATGTTTTCCTTAATCTATAGGCCTTGTCTACACTAGAAAAGTTAATGCTGAATTAAGAAACATGGTTGGTTGAAAAGTTAATTCAGATTTAATACACTTTTGAAAAGTGAATTGAAGTTAATGTACCAATCGATAAAGAACTTGATGGACTAATTAGAATCTCGGACAGGCCTCAATGAGGTCGCTGTATATTATCGATAAATAGGTATTTTATAAAGAACAGGAGGTGAAGTATAAAAACTCAAGAACCCTAGAATATTGAACGAAACTATAGTTGAAAGAAATAAGTTAGAAAAGTAAATATTTTGGTAACAAATTTCGTCATTTGTCGTTAATCCGCTATAATGTAGTCTGAATGTATAAACTTAGCACATGTTCAGTAAAGAAAAAGTCGCTTCTGTCTCTTTTTGATGAGTTACTTCTCAATTCTGATCGATGCATTAAACTTATAAGTGTAGACACACGTAGATTTAATTCGAATTAATGCCGCATTATCTTTCTAGTGTAGACAAGGCCTATATTCATTCATTCATATATATATATATATATATATACAGTATTCTCTAGTTCTATTGGTTAGATTTCCATACGAATTATAACATATTTGAAATGGCGACGAAATTTTACGTCTAGCTGTACGTAGTTCGTTATTACGAGTTTCTTTCGTTTCCTTTCAAAAATTTGAATTTCATAAGCAATATGTTTCCTATCTTTAAATAATAAAAATAAATAAACATGATAATAAAAATCAATGATATCATAACTCGAATGAAATGTATTGTATTTACCTTGACATTTTCAATGTTTAGATAATCATTATCAATGAATAAAACGTTTCGATGTGGTCGTCTGATGCTTACCAAAGATGGGATATTAAAAAAACTTGAGTTAGAAAACGGTGGTGGTTCTCGTCGTTGTAATTGGGATCATAATGATATGGATTTCAATACTGTTCAACAACGTCTGATGGACGTGTTTCATCTGAGTAAAATGTCAAACAAGCATAACTCTAAATTGTTTCCTTTTTTATTACTCTTCGTTGTAGATAATGGTAAATATAAAACTTGGTTATATGATTTTGAACGTAAACTATTAGATGTACATAAGTATGAGAAATTCTCCCAATATATGAACGACCATGGCCTCAGTGGTCGAAGTACTATTATTTACATATGTACAAACGAAGGTTTGATTCTCTACTTCGATTCGTTTTTAACTGATTGAATCTTCTTTTTTTTTAAGTCAATGAAAATGAGAATGATGATGATGATGATCCAATAATAATAATGCCGAACAAGAAAAGTACAGCCACAATGAAAAAATTAAAGACTGAACCAAAGTAGACGAAATTTTGAACAATTATTTTTCTTTTAAATTTGCCAATGTTTTCTTAAGATCATCAACATCAGTACAAACCAATATGTCACCAAGAACAGTTGAAAGCCAATACATTTTATATGATGAAGATCGGTTTGATAAAGAACAATCATCTCAGTATGAAATTTGTTTTATTTATAAAATAGAAATTGTAAAAATTTATTTTTTAGATCTCTTTTTGGTAATCCATTGATAATAGTTAGTTAATCTCTATGATAAAGTCTTTTATTTAGCATATTCTTTTTCTGATTCAATTAATAAATTGAGAAAAAATATTCATGATTTAATTAAAAATAGTATTTTGGATGAAACATTGGTTAAATTATTTGAAAATATACAAACTATTTCGGGTATGGTTTGTGCAACTATTGATCCATTAAAAGAAAAAATGAAACAATCGAATCAATACGTTCGTGTAATGAACGAAAATGAAATATGGTTAAATGAAAATAATTTAACGCAAGCAATGGACGTGTGCAAATCAACCAAAACTTTACTTGAATTAAAGAAAAAACAATATGGTCACATTCAAACATTTTCGACGGTAGTCAATTTATTTACTCAATTTTATGATAACTTACAGGTATTTAAATGATTTAAAAAAACTCGAATAACACAATACACTCAACAAAACTATGTTTAATAGAATTTCAATAATTCAGAATCACAAGATAAATCAAGAATAATAACAGAACCATGAGACGTTCTTTGGTAGTCAACAAAAATTTGAATATGATCCATTACTTAAAGAAAACATCAGTCTAATAGAAAATACATCTTAACTTCTATGCTTTATATACTGCTGATTTTCATGCTTAACGAATTCAATTTTTGCCAGCTCTTTGAATAAAATATAGAGATGACGATTTTTTTCTGCATAAGACCTAGTTTTGTTTCTAATAGATTTTTAAAAATAAATTGATCTAATCTTTTTAGATTCTGCTCAAACAATGGTCCGATAATGTTAAAGATAATAATGAAAAATACAACACATCAACATTATCATCTTGCTCTACTCATTCGAATAATAAATATTTATCTAGCGATTCACATATTCAACCATTATTTCAACATAAAAGTGAATTATATTCAAAGAATTGTAAAAGGCAATCTCAAACGTCATCAATACCGGTTTCTCAATCATTACCATCAGTCGATGTATTTCAACCAGTATCTTCATTTCAAGAATCATCAAATAAAAATAATCAGGAAGATTTTGCTTTATTTGAATCCGTACGCTAAATTTGAAAATATAATTATTTATTCTTCGATTGATTTAATTTAGGTTTTGAATTGCTTAAATCATTTATCAGGTTTATTATATCCACAATATCTATCAACATTTCGTGAATTTATTCATTCAGCTATTGATGACATTGAGTCCATACGATCAACAATTAATTTACATGATGAGCAATCATTACAAGATGCACAAAAAAAGACTTTATCAATAAAATCTAGAATTAATAAAATAATTTATGAACAAGATATTAATTATTCCAAACATGGATTAGATGGACAACTTCTTATGTCGTGTAAAAAAACATTAAAATCAATGGAACTTTTCTTAATATCTCTTGATCGATATCAAATCCAACTCGACCAAAATAATCGACGAAAACATTCAAATTGGTCTTCACCTCCACGTTTATTTATAGATCAACATCTCTCCGAAAGCAGACAGACATTTTCATTGAAGAAACGAAAATCATTAAACTTTCATGACGATAGTTAAGCTAGCGTTGTGTCTTTCTTCACCGATTAAAAATGAAACTTTTTTTTGACAGATATCCCGAAAACCCGTGTTTGAACAGCTCATTACTCTAAGTAAATTTACGTGAGCTTTAATTTTCTAGTGGTTATAAATTATGTGTTTATTTTGTTTCGTTATTTATATGAAAAAATAAATATGAAATCAAATGTAGTTCATAGATTTCTTTTATGAAATAATAATTGATCTTGACTAATACATTTCAGTTCATTTATGATTATGATAGGTATAATTTGAATGTCACTATCAGTACTGAATTATTGAACCAAAGTAACAATCTCAAGAGTACTAATTGAAATAGTAAATCATTCATGCGACTATTCTTGTTTGTCTAGTTTCAGGTTTTGATAATAATATTAACATGAATATTTTTGTGCATTGCGTAGGAATATATTTAACACTCAATATAAGACTCGAGTTTAGGTTCGATACTAGATTTTTAAAGTTTTTACAAAGAATACGATGAATACTGTTCAAAATTAACCGACAGTTTATAAGAATATGTAACCCGAGAATTTATTATTTACTTGTTCTTAGTTTCTGTCTTCAATATGAATAAATTTATTCAGTATTATAGTGTAGATTTTTTTAATCGTAAAATTGTTTATTCTTTTCAACCAGTTTGTACAATTAAAATCAAAATAGCATGTTATAAACTAATTTACACTTGTTGGACAACAAATAATGATAATATCAATTGAAAATTCGTTAATGTCACCTAGATGATAATAATAACTGTGCACCTCATTGAATACAAGATAGTGTATATTGATTTTCTTTAATCGATTTATTTCAAGAAGAAATAGTAAGCATGATCAGCTACAAGCACAGACAAACATATAGATACATAACAAAGAATAGTTGTTGATAAGTCACATCGCAACAGAAACGTTGAAGTAGATATACCACTCAATATTAAGATGAATTTTTATTACAAAATTTATTGTTTGATGTCTTCAATTTAAAATTCAAATATAGAGTGTCATTAGAATGTAACAAATTTTGAGACAATCTGTAATATATCTATATAGGAATTCAAAGAATTAATTACAGAATTGTGGTGATTGACTATGCATAGTTTGGCAAGATATTCTAAATCACTAAAAACATGTATTATTTTGTCTAACAACATAAATAATTGAAGAGAAGATTCAATTCTTTTCAAATTATCTCATGTAAAGAGCATTTTCTCAGTTATTCACATGATATTGAATCAGTATCAATCGAGTGTCAATTTATTCGAAATAATTAATTAATCAACAAGATACGTATGCAGACAATAAGAAAAAAAGAGCAGATTAATTCACACTACATCTCAATAGATAGTATGTAAACGTTAAAAAATTTCAATTGTAGACATTCTCAAGAGGTCGTTATAAGATTAGATTTCTTTGTTTACATGCAAAACATCAGACAGAAACTAAACAACATAATTATAAATCTAAATGAATATATTTTATACTAGAAAAATAGCAGATAATAATGGCAATATTTTCAAAACATAATGGTGGTGACGACTTTGGCTTTCCATTCATTTAAGATGAAAATGTAAAATTGACTAAAGCGGATAGAACGAAGCTTTCAGTATGACGACAACAATAGTAACAATTATCAATTTGAATTGTGTTTTCTCGAATTATAAAATGATATGGGATTTTTCTTTAAATTTATCGTAAAAATAACGATTGGTCGCATTTCTTCTAGTGAATTTTATGATATACAGAAAACTCGATGTTTCACAAAACAATTAGCGAAAGGTCACTCTGCATATATGAAACGCACATATTTGATAATACTATACATTCTGTCTTGATTGTAAAATCTATTTATTGTACCTCTTGAATTTCAAGACAATATTTTTAAAAGCAAAGTTGCATAACTTGAACAATGATATCACTAAATTTATCGATAGTAAATATAGACATAGCTCTTTATTTTTTGTCTGATTATACGAAATTTATTAATGAAGAAAAATGAAGTGGATAAATAGTGGCACGTTAGTATGTTCTTTTGTTCAATACGGTTCGATAATTTATTTAATCATAGACGGGCAATTTTGTTTGATACTTCAATTTTGGTCCGTTAAAATTATTCTTCTGAGCAATTCGATTCAAAGCAAAAATACATAACTAAAAAACATGAACAGAATCTCTTTCGGTTAATATTCTGTATTAGGAATAAAGATTATAACTTACTGTTACTTGTTGAATATTCTGTTTGTCGAAACAATCGACAGCTTGAAATACTTCACTGGCATTGACACCATAAGCACGTGCAGCATTTTGAAAAAGACCAATATTTTCACGTAACTTAATTGAACATCCTTGTGTATGTATCTTTGGTACAGAACCAGGTTTGAGTTTATTCATTAGTCTTAATAAAAGAAAAAGATTATAAGAAGATATTTAAAAAATATTATTGTTATTGAATCTTACTTGCATAAAATGATTCCATCGTGAAGTGCTTCTTCATAATCGTCTGTTGGAAATCGTTCACCAGTGACAGCTTCTATCCATTCTCTTGCTGCTTTTTCTTGTTCGGAATCTTGCTTGTAAAAAATCTAAAAATCCAAATAATAATAATATTAAATAGCTTATTCAACTAATATCATATATAAATCACACATACTTTGTCTTTAACAGCTCGATCCAATGCCATTTTATTTAACTCTTGGTTGCGTCTGTCATAGAGCGAATGTTAAATAGACATAAAACAAGTCTAGATATATGCTGTCAGAACATCGCACCATACTCTTTGTACAGTTTCTACATATATGGGTGGGTGTTTTTTTTTTCCCCATCATTTATCATCTCACCGAAATAGAAAGAGATACATAGTAAATAATATCTACTAGATATTATGCTTACAATGAAGATTCAAAAAAGGAAACAGATCTTATATAAAAAATAACACATAGTCAATGCCTATACCCAAAACAAAAAAAAGTTATTTCTAACCAACTTTCTTCCTTGTGTCTGAAAACAGATTTGTACTTAGTGGTCTTTGTAGGCGAGCTATGACGAAGATGTATGTAAAATAAAATAACATGACCTCATATTTACAACTTTATATATAGAAACATACTATTTATGATGATCCTGAATAGTAGATATTAACAACTAGTGTTGACACGTACCAATAAAAGATAAAACTGGAAAAAGAATAATATCATCCTAGACTGATAATAGCCCAAGCAGTTATAAAGTGTTTATTTTCATAATTTTAGAATTCGAGAACCTTCTTCAGCTACATATCGATTATATTTGTTTTTACCAATTATAATGAAAATATTCTTTACAAGTATTGATATAATGGTATTTAAAACAACTTAGCGATACATTATTATACTTTATATGAACCGATTCAAAGATTTTGTCAAGTGTGTACTTTGTCTCTACCTTTCTATTATCTCAATATTTTAAATATAATAATAAATAACAATGGCTTGACCGTTGTCATCGTATTCGATCGTCATTAAATATCGTATACATACTAAAGTACTTAAAACCCTATTCTATTTTATTTCAAACAAGAGAACATATAAAATTTTTATTATAGCTGTCTGTCAGACACACACTTGTACATATACGAACTCGAATCATATGCTTTTCGCTTTCTCTCTCTCTCTCTCTCTCTCTTTGTCTTGCGATACCATGGGAATAGAACCATATTCAGTTGGCCTATGTTAAACAAATACAAACATATAATGGAGACGTAGACAGAGTACGACATCAAGTATTCTATCATTGAAAAAGAGAAAATATAAAGAATAGAACAAACAAAAAGAGTTTCTTATGTGGGTATGCAACCGGTCTAGAGTACGTTATTTAGCTGTGAGAAAAGGAGGGGAAAGAAAATTTATAAAGAATGTAAAGCAATATGAACTCTTTCTCGTATTTTGGCTCTTATTCTATGGCTCAGTAAAAAAGAACGAAAGAACATATAGGTGTATATCAGTATGTATATATATATATATATACTGAAGAAATGAGAGAGAGAGAGAGAGTTCGCATCAGTCCTTATGATCCTTTTTCAGAACAGGTACATATACACATACACACACACTCCTAACACAACGTAATACAGAATGGCTTGTTATTTTAATATTGCTTGCTTTTTCTCTACACTTTGTGCGTTCATTGCATTGACGAGCCTTGTGCAATTTAGTGTTGGTATCTATTTCACGTATATTCAAAATGAGACAATTACAATCAATCATCTTATTCAAACCAACGAAATTGATTCATATCCGGCGTATATTCTTTTTATATTTATTGGCTTAGGTTTCATCTCATTAATATTGACTTTCTCTTCAATGTATGGCATATCTAATAGAAATAGATCTTTATCATTATTCTTCGCTGTCTTATGGGTAAGTTTTTAATTTAATTACTATTGTCTTTTGATGTTGAATACTAGAGATAGTTTCTTGTTTCTTTTTATAAATAGGTACTTACAGTTGCAATTAATCTTGTTATGTTTGCTATACTATTTCTCTACTACTATTTCAACTTTTCTGGATTGCGTGAGCGACTTGTCTATTCCCTTCAACAATCGTCTTCCAAGACAAGAAAATTACTCGATGATATTCAATCTAAACATTTATGTTGTGGAATTAATAATAAAGATGATTACAAAAATCTTTCTCTTGCTTTATTTCCTCAATCATGCTATCTTCAATTGAATTATTTGAATAAAACTGATATTAATAATAACGGTTTAAATAATACAAATTTATTGATGAATACTGGTGGTTGTAATTCAATCGTTAATGACTATATTACTTTTCAATTGTGGACTATAGGTGTTATTATATGTGTTAGTGTTTTCTTACAGATATTGGCAATAACATCTATGTGCGTTTTAAATCAGCGTCATCAAAAATTTGATGAAAATAAAAAATTTATGATTAGTCGTTTGGATGATGAAACATTATCTAATGAAAATGTTAATAATAACAACAATAACAACATTCATGACTCATGTAAAACTATTGACGAAATGATTGAAGTAACGCAAATTTGAAATTTTAAACGAAACAAAAATCTGATTATTCAATAATTATTACTAAAAAAATTAGTTTTAGGGTTATAATGTTGCGTATGCATGTTTGTATGTGTTTTTGTAGAAACTAATTTTTTTCTTTTGCTGCGTAGGCAATATATGATGTGAATTTTCCCTATAAACTCAATGAAAACAAGAATAATATTTGTTTACTATTAATAAAATTAACTGTTCGATTGAAATTTCTACGTAAAATCATTTGAATATTCGTTCGTATGAATAACTTTTAAGATTTTGCTTTTGGTTATATCACTAGAAACCAGAGTGACTCTTATACCAAATTGAAAGATATTTGATCATTTATTTATTGATTATTCTACTAACTAGAGTTATTGAATAATAGTCATTTCATATTTTAAATATTTTATGCTTCAGAATGAAGTAGCAAACAATACTACATTATAAGTTGATACAAAAGAATATGCCTATTGAAGTGAAATTTAGTTTGACTCGTCTATACAATTAGAAACGTCATAGAAACCTGAAGACAATGCTTATCAGAAATATGCATTAAAGTGGCTCTTTTTTTTTATCAAAAATATTATATTTCATGTCGTAAAACCTAAGATTAGTTTCTTCTGCCAATATTCCATCTTCATACAAATTATAAAATATTATTAGCAAGTATTCATCACCATATACTATATTGCCTATTATATTTCTTTATGGAAGTTAAATTAAAAAAGATCATCTTATATGATTGAAGAAAACAATTAGATGACTAATCAAGTTTTGATTACTAAATAATAGTTAATCAATATTATAAATATTGAAGAACAATAGCTTAATTATCATGATTGAAAAAACGCATCTTCTTTAAGAATATCATCAAAATGAATAAATTTCATTTGTTCATAATTAACGTAAAGAACAAGAGATGAGAATATGAAAATTTTCCTAATATGATTCCATTTAGATTGATAACTGTAAATAAAATAAAATATTATTTTACTTTTATTCGAATAAATCAATCAGAGTATCCTCAGTTTTATTCCTTATTCTGAAAACGAACGTTGGATTCTTTTAGAAATTTTAAATAGAAACGAAAAACAATCAGCTAGTTGATTTATGCAAGCAGTTGGAAGTTATCTTCCAACATCACAGTCGGTAAATTTGGAAACCTTGTTCCAAATAGCTAAACGAGAAAAAAAAACTGAAAAGTTCTGCATAATGACACCAATTAAATTCATTTGGTAGCTGCAAATCTTGGTAGAATGTTTTGCACAATGGGCGTCTTAGCTAATGGTTTTATCACAAAAGTTGCAAGTTTTTGTAATAAATATAATCCAGCAACAGAATAACCTGTTAAACGAAATAGTTTTAATACTTGATCTTGTCGTTGGCGTAATGCTAAACACTGTTTATACGGGATTCTTGTAAATGTTACCATTGTATATAATGGTACCCACCAGTTAGGTATTAATCGATATAAACAATTGTCGACTTTCTTACGCCAATAAAATGAAGTTTGAGTCACCAAATGACTCATTTCACGATAGTTATACATTGATAAATCAACAATTGCATGAACATCATGTATCCGAGTTTTACTTGAATAAAAAGAAGTACTTATTATTTTACTATTTTTACATTACATAAAATATTTACTTGTAATCAAAGAATGCTGTTGAAAACTGAAAATTATTTTGTTTTAATTTATCAAATAAAACTAATGCATCTTCAAATGCTGAATTCATTCCTTGTGCATAAAACGGTACCATTGAATGAGCAGCATCGCCCATTAATAAAATATCTCCATTTGTTGAAACATGTGGTGAACATTTAATGGAGACCAGTGGTAATGGTTTTGATGAAAAAAATGTTTCAATCAAATCTTCTTGTCCAATGAATGAAATAGCATCGGGAAAATATTTTTGGAAAAACGCTAAAAGTTCATCAGTTGTTGTTAATGTTTGAAAAATATTCAATGGTAAAAACAATGTTGTTGTAAAAGATTTATCTTGGTTTGGTAAAGCAATTAGCATAAAGTCATGACGTGGCCATATGTGAAGATAATTTTTTTCCATAACAAACTTAATACGATAAAAGCGATGAAAACAAAAATAAATTACTTTGTATTATATTTACTTCACCATTCTTCGGAGGTATACAAAATTCCATATAATGAGATTCAACAAATTCTTGAGAAAAATTGACCGAATCAGTTTTCATCATTGCCGCACGAACAGCCGAATGGCATCTAAAAGTTTTCTTTTTCTGATTTCATTTAACAAAATCTTCTGTTTCAATTAATTACCCATCATAGCCGATAAGAGCATCGACTTCAAAATCAACATTTTCACCGGATTTACTAATTGAAATCAAATATAGGGCTATTTTTTCTTGAAGATTTTTATCAATTTATACTTTTGAAATGTTGCGATTTTGTTTTCAGGATTCCAACTGACAAATTTATGTTGAAAATGAATTTTTATCTCAGGATATTTGCATGCTTCTGTACATAAAATTAAAGCAATAATAATTGACAAGTAATAAAATATAAATTTACCATCTAGTAGAAGTTCATTGAGAATACGACGATCAATCGATATTATTTCCTTGAAATATAGAGAAAACAAATCCCAGATGTTTTTTTTTTAACTTAAATATATTACATGTTCTGGTTTAGTACCATAAGGTACAGCTGCAGTATGACACTTAAGATCATGTAACATACGTGCACGCATGGGTATACCATTTCGAACAATAACATCTTCGCAATTGATATAAGCAAGAGCATCACGACCTCGACGAGATAATGCCATATTAATGCTGCGTCCTTTAACTACTTTTTGATTACGAATATCTATATGAAAAGAAAACTTATTTATTCGTATGAAATTCAACTGATTCAGATAGACCTGGTCGTAATTCAAATAAATGAACATTAATGCCATGTTTAGCAAAAAAGCAAGCACATAAAGCACCACCCTAGAAAATGAATGCAACAATTTCCTTATTGAAAACTCATTTCAACAGGTGACGTACGAGTCCACCGCCAACAACAGCAATTGTTTTATTAGGATGACTTTCAGTTGTATTTGCCATATCTATAAATTATAATGCACTGAATATGATTTTGACAATTAAGACGAATGGTCACTGATTCAAGCAATAGTTTTTTTATAATAAGAAACCAAAACAACACAGTTTCATACAGTTTCTGTTGAGAAAGAAAGAAGGGAAGTAAATAATTTTCATTCGTAAAAAAATGCATACTCAATGAATATGTAGAAGGGTCAGCGAGTGAAAAATACATTTTTCTTCCTTTATCGATTATGTGATCCAAGACATATTGGATACCGAAAAAGGACGATATCAAAAAAATGGAAACTTCATAGCAGCGACATCTAATCGATTTCTACTGGTATTTTGAAGAGTCAGTTACTCATACACCATTCGTGTTCTGCATTTTTTTAACTTCTACACATCTTCTTCCTCTTTTCATATGAAGTTTTCAGCTACTCCATTTATATTTGATATAATTATGTAGATTAAATGTATTCATGTATTAAAACTTCCACATCACAAGTTTCAAATGATCACAATGAGGGTTAAAATGAGGGAAGTACTTTCTAAATAAATCTTTTGGCTGATAATAAACTGAAATACTCACCTTAGAGATAATACTTCAAGAATTGTTTTGATGCACAGATCTATGCTGACAATGAAGTGAACCTGATATTATAATCCTTTTGTAGGATCATGTATCATTCAAACGAAATCGAATACAAAGTTAATCGATGATTTTCCACGGCCATTGAAGGTTGTAATAAGATCGTTTATGATCTTATCGAATCGCATATATCAACTACAAAGCTATTATTTCTGATAAAATAGGCATTAATAATATTTCCGATGTCTTACTATTCGTTTTTAAAAGATTCCATATATTTCCCACAAGTTGGTGCACGTAATTTTGTCGTTTTTTCGCAATGTAGCACCTTTTCTCCCAGGTAAAATCGTTCACCTAGAATCACATTTATAGATTCGTCAAAATAAATAAAACTGTAGGACAACATACACTAAGAAGAATCAAATAAAAAACTTGCAGTAACTCACTTTTTGTTGATTCAGTTGATTAAATGAAGTTAAAAAGATTTATTTGTATGTAATCAATTTTTTGCATTACGAAGAAAACAACGAAATGAGTCACTGAAATAATGAAAAATATATTACTATGTAATCAAAATCGATGATATCATGTATGTTCAACAGACAGACACAACCACACATTACATGTATCAGACTTCAACAAATTGGAAGATGACATGAACAAAATATCTATTAATCAACTTTGTTATTCTCATTCGAAATTCCGCTATCAATATTTTTTATATCAACCATGAACATGTAACAATTTCATTGGTTGCATTTTTGAATCTGAAAATTAGTACCGTGAGACATATTTCTCGGTCGAATAATTTAATGTTGATATAGATTCTAGTATTTTTTACAACTCATATGATATTCTCATATAGAACACATGGAGAATATTATCGATTGTGGTGCTTTGAATTACTTAAATATGATATATATGTCGTAGGCCAATCTCGGATTCAGGCCGATCCCGGATTGGCCTAGGCCATTCTAAGATCCGAGTTTGGACTAGTCCAATCTTCGATTGATGCAATTCTATTCATTAATATATCAATAACTTTTTACATAAACTTTGGACTTGAGTCATTTTTTGACGTCATGTTCAGATAACGTCGTTTTATGTATTACAAACATTCACGGAGAAGCTTACTTTAGACTCGGAAGCAAGGGGGAAAAAGCGGATCCCCAAGATCCCCAATCCCATGAAATCCCATGGGGATCCCAGGGATCCGGTCAAAATCCCAGAAATCCACCGGGGATCCCAAAATAGTACAGCTATTTCGGAAGTGCTTTATATGGTTTTATGAAGCACAATGAAATTAAGAGTCGTTCTCATGCATAGAAAATATTATTTAATGTGTTCGAAGCTTTGAAAATCATTTCATTATGAATAGGGTATCGATATGTACAAAATGAGTTGTATTCTTGAAAATCTAACACAGAGGCGGTGTCACTAAATGTATCGCGGGGATAAAAACAAAGAGCAACTTTTTTAATAAGCGTTATAAATTACTCAGATTTTCGATTCTATCAGCAACGATAAAGATTTCAAATCGCAAACAAAATGATAAGACAGTTAAATGGGTAGTATATGTATGTCCAACGAATGTAAAACGGGCAGGATTCATATGTTTTCCTTCCTTATATGAAGTACGTAAAACCAAAACAGTCAGGTTTATCCTCTATATTCATCGCTTTGTGTCAGTTCAACGGTGAATCAATTATAATACTAAAGAAATATTTCTAATTCGGGTAAAAATGAGATGCTGTGAGATAAAAAAAATGATAAAAACTCGATTGCTAATCCATTTTAATAAAATAAAACCGAAAAAAAATCAAAGTTTCATCGATCATTAAGATTTATTTCGATAATAATTGATTAAATCTCAATTTTTCGTCAATTTTTATTTCTTTAATCAAATTGCTACTGATTTTATTCTATTTCTTTAAAATAGGTGCTGCAAAGAAAAACTAGACTAGACTAGTTGAGCATTCTTTTCTCTAATGAAGTCTTGAACTGTCAATGTGGGCTCTTCCGTTGAGAATATCCATTACTTCAAAGCTATTTACAGATACTGATCAAAGTGAAAAGATCGGTTGTGTCTACTACAATATTCTTTATGCTCGTTTGTTGATAAAAAAAACACTCACTGATAATTTTATTGAATTCAGATAATCGAATGGATATCAGAAACACAAGAGCTTCACATAAAAGAATAATTCATTCAGTAGATAGGAAGATTTGAAAACAAGATGAATGTTTCACACGTTTTGTGCATTCATATAGCCCTCCAAGTTTTTCACAAGAACTGAAAACTCCCAGTTAAATGGAGTTGCTGATTATCGCATCACTCAGTAACCCAGATGTCGAAACGTTTAACACTGACTGATGGTGGAAAAGCTACTGTTTTCCATGAAAGAATATGACGGTACCTGTACATCGCGATTGATCCTTCGGTATTATCAACGATTTCATAAACTCTTTTTGTGTTTAAGTATTCTCGGTGATTATTATTTAATGATGAGGTTTTGCGGTAATGATAACTGCTCGTTCCTAGTTATATACTTCGCTATTCTCTTCTAAAACGAGGAAAAATATTTCTATGAAGTATGAATTAAGGTATAATTGTGAATAGAAAGAAATCTATGAAGGATTCATGAAATAGAACTCAAGATTATTCATATGATGGCAAAGAACACTACAACGTAAAATTCAATGTAAATTATGTTAACATAGGCAAAACAAAGCACTTCATCTACATATGAAAGTGCGGAGGTGTCGTTTTTCTCAAGAGTTTGAGAAATCAATTTCGTGTGCAACTGTATTGCCTTGCTATTTATCAACAGTTTACTTCAAACTTTAATAGATTTAAAGAGATAATATGTGAATAAATAGTTTGCTTGCACTTGGCATATGAAATAGTTCACTCATAATCTGATTAACTGAGACAAATTCACCAATCAGTTTGTTTAATAAAACGAATCTTATCGCTGAGACGATGCTACAGATTATGCCAGTTGATATCAGTGTTATTACTTTTCATTTCTCTTTCATCGATAAAGCAAAAAGAAATATAGAGCCTATTCCATGTTTGTTATTTTAGTAGTTATCTCTATAGGCGATTTTTTAAGACTTATATTATAATGGCTAAAAAGTTTTCTACTTGTAAAAGCATGAATATCATCACAGCTTCATGAAATAAGAGGCAGAGAACTTGGAGGCACGATACGCATCTTCAAAACTATAGGTAATCTAGAAAAAAAAATTGTGGATTTTGAGTAAGATGGGATCCAGAAAATCCCATGAAAATCCCGGGGATCCCAAAAAAATCCCGGGATCCGAAGAAAATCCCAAAATCCCAAATCCGCTTTTTCCCCCTTGGGTTTGTATAACTGCTTACACATACAGAAAAGGTTGAAAAGGTTTGAAAGGTTCGATTCTATCCTTGGAAAACACAAAAAAGTAAGTTTCATTCTATAGATAAAGTACTGAAACTTAGTATGGCAATGCAAGTAAGAAAAACTACTATGGGTATGCATTAGTGACCTGCGTGACCATGCTTTTTAGTCAGTTACGTCACGCTCACGGTCACAGTCACGTGTGACCGTGACCGTGACCACTTTGTAGGTCTCAAGTATGCATGCATCCAAGCAAACATTGTATCCGCAACTGTGAATAAAAGCTACTTTGGATAAGCAAACCAAGAGTATGCAATAGTAAATTTTTGGGCATAGTTTTTTTACATGGGTAGTATCTTTCATTGAAAAAGCGATTTGGCAGTTGGAAACATTCTCTCATGAGATTTTTCAGAACATATTTGGTTGAGCCGAACAGGAAAATGTAGAGCCATATCCAATTCGGTTTCTAATTAAATGAGAATAAGTGAATGATTTACTAATATTACCTGTGATCAAAACACGAGGATGCTGCTCATTAAAAAACGACCGAGCAACTGTAATTGTAGGCCACGTAGGATATTTCAGACGAGCGATTGTTTTCAACATAAATATGATTATTAATCTAAAACATTAAAATAAGACTCCTTGTATGTGGTAACATAGGCACACTAAATATAAAATGAGGTCATAATTTTAGACATTAAATCAATTTAACATCAGCAAGTAGTATCTCTTCTCCGTATACAAAACATTTTATATCTTCAAAGATACTCCTTGACAAAAAATTTCCTCTCAAATTCTGCTTCGTGCCAAAACGATGGAGGCTTTGCCAATAAATCACTCCTCTTCGAAGTACTGTTCATAATTTAGTACTCAAAACTTCAACTTTGCCACCCTAGTCCAGTTAAGCCAAAGTACTTGCTGATTCATGGAGCGAAAGATTGCGTACCGTCAGGGTATGGATATGGATACTGTTTCGACCGACGACCACACTTTGTTAGTGTTGTATTGCTGTACAGCGTATGAGCAAAAATTATATTCTTTGCGAA